GATGCCCCTCTCCCCCCGACCTGCGTGTTACACCGACTCTGCCAAGCACTTCAGCCACGGCTATCAGCCACTCGCCACTAGCAGGGCGCCAACACACACAGATTTCAGCTTTACATCGTTTTCCTACAGTCTCCGTGCACTTTTGGGCACTCATGTTGCTCCTCGCACCAGGACTGCCAGATGCTCCTTAGTTGAAGCGATGCTCCCGATGCCGCACTATCACAACCCCACGGCGGATACGCTGTTTCCTCCATCCCGGCAGGTTCCGCGCCAGAGGCCGAGGGGGGCGCCGCTGCCGCCCGCCCCACAGCCACTCCACGCGCTTTACCAGGTTGCTGCCGTCGAGGACCTGCGGCTTCCTTCCTCTCCCTTGCTGGGCACCCGGAGCCGGAGGTGTCTCTCCTCCGCGCCCCGGAGAGACCCGCACACACAAGCACACGCACGCACGCACGCACCCCCATCGCCCCCTTCCCTTCCCTTCCCGCAGCCCCTACCTTCGTATGCGAGGCTGAAGCGGGCCCCCACCGCCAGCAGCAGAGCCAAGCCGACTGATGGGCTCCCCATGTTCCCCGCCGCCGCCGAGGCGTCCAGCTCGCGCCGGGAGGCTGCCGAAGTGCGAAGCGGGGGCAGGCAGGGCAGAGACCTGCGCCGAGCAGGCTCCGGGGCGCCCCTCGATGCTCCGCCCCTCCGCCTATTCCCGCCGGCGAAGCGCGGGGACGCTCCCCCGCTCCCTCCGGTTGCCCCGTCCGCCACCCGGGACGCCGGACGCCGAGCAGAGTCGCTGGGCAGGCTGCGAGGTGGCCTCTCCGCCGGGGCGGACGGGGTGCGTGGCTTCCTTCCTATCTATCGCGCAGACGGCCGGCTCCGTCCCTTCTCCGCTTTTGTGCGGGACTGGTTTGCCTCCCCCCTCCCCCCCGCTACCGCTTTCCAGGGAGGTTGCAAAGGTATTTTTCCTTCCAGGACTTTTCCTCCCTCTCCAAAGCCCGTTCCTTGATTTACGAGCGGAGCTGCCGAAGCGGAGGAGGAGAGAAAGCCTCGTCGAGCTGGGAGTGGAGGAGACCAGCAGCTCGCCGCCCGCCACCAAGGCACCGCTCGGGACCCGCTGCTCTTCCCTGCCTCTGCGATCCTCCTCCCCCCGCACCCGCCCGACTTGTAATCCAGACCGCGGCGGTCGCACACGACACCAGACAGAAAGGGGGACTGGGCGCTCCAGCGCAGGCTGTCTCCGAGAGACTTGGGGCCTTTCCAGACCAAAGGGAAAGGCCGCCTTTTCTCTCTCCAGTGCTTGCCCTGGCCCAGCAGGAGTTGCGCAGTATCCTGCCCCCGCGCTCTGGGTGCAGCTACCGGGAGAAAGGGCCCTTTAGCACCCCTGCCCTTTTCCAGAGGGATGCGCAGGCCAGTGCTAGGCAGAGGAGAGGAGGCAGCACTGCCCGAATGTGGACGCGGGAACAGGCAAGACATAGAGCCAGCTAGCTTTGTACTACTTGCAGTAGTAGTAGCAGTAGAAGTGTAGGTAATTTTCGTATGCATGCCTCGAAGTAATTCTGAGCTGCCTAGAGGTGCTAGGGCATGCTAGGTGGCATACCAGTGTTTTAAATAAATACCTGCCTATGTGGGTCAGTGCCCACATATCCTGCTTGTAGGGCCGTCTAGGTGGCTGCTATTGAAAAAACAATGCTGGGCGGTAGAGGCCTTTGGTCTTACCCAGCATCTCTTCTTATAGATGCTCCTGTCTTGGAGTACAAGGAACCTTTGAAAGAGAGTTATTTTAAAGGCACCAAATGGTAGTGGGTCTCTACTGCATATCAAAGGAAATTTGGAATCCCACACAGGTAATATCTCTGTTTCTGGATGAGAAATCCTGCTAACTAAGCACACTTCTGTGTTGTTTCTTCACCTTCATCAAGCCCATCGCCATTTCTAGGCTGCTTTAGAAACCTGCCTCCCTATGCAATACTTTAGAAATTTTCACTGCCTCCCTGGATTAAATTGGGAAAAAAAGAAAAGTGACTGTCACCAGCACCCTGATGACAGACTTCGCATCCCAAAATAATGTCCCCCAAAATTTTCAAGTAGTTGTTAAACAGCAGAATCTTGTGGGATGCCACAAAATGAAGGCAAAGTGACAAGCAGCTATATACTAAAGCACAATATACACTGATGGTACCATTGTCCTCATCACCATCCCAACAGTGACCAGGATACACAGCCACAATGTATGCAGCACTCCAAACCAAAAGATGTATTAATGGCATTCTAACACTTATTTCCTGCAAGAGAAGTGATTACTGTATGTGGCTTCTTCACAGAACTGTATGCATATGACTAATAAAATGCTGGTCTGGGAAAGACCTGAATAAATTCTTTCTAATTGCAGAATATGTTGTCAGAATGATCAAATATAAAGAGCATCTGACTGTAGGAAGAAATAATACATTGCCAGGGATGCTATGAGGGAGCTCAATTGGCTGGCATGGAGACTGCAAAAGGTATTGAAACCAAATGGATAACAATATTGGACTTCTAGAAATGCCTTAGGAATTCAGGTAGAGCTGAGAGCAACACATATCAGGGGCTAATAGTAACGTGCATTAAGTACGGAACTTTGAATTTCCACAGTACAGTATTGTTAAGGTTAAATTGATTTTTTGTAGGTCACAATACCTTGAGTCAAGCTAGTGTTACCACTGTTATCTTAGGGTTAGGGTTAGACAATACCTTTGCAAACTCAAAATGTGTTTTAGATTTTCCATGTCTAATGGACATAAAATATTACTTACACTTTCTAGCTCTTATTCACCAGTGAATATGAAGTACTTTGCCATGTTTGTAAAAACATCAGCAGTTGTGATTATGGAGGAAAGATGAGACCCAGGTAGTAATTAGGTCCAGTGAGTTCTGTGAAGGGTCTTAGTTGTTCTTCCTGTTGCCTAATAACAGTTGTATGGGGATTAGTCACAGATGGAGAATGCATTGTGGGAAGGAAAAGATCAGTTCTGTTTAGTAACTGCAGAACTCTACAATGATTTGGCAGTTTGAAGCTTTTCCCCGCAAGAAAGGACTCTCCGATTCTGTTTGCATCTATTTTAATGCACATATCTGATGGGAAATGACTTGGTGTGATTAGTGCACATTTGGGAGTCTTCTGCACGTGGGCTTCTGTTATTTTCCGAAGCAGCATGTGTGTTTGTGTACAGAAAGGATTATGTGGGCCGCAGCATAGGAAGTGCTGCACTAGGGCAGGCATCAAAAATGTTAGAGGTGGAAGTCTGTTTTCACAGCTGTCAGTGTTTGCAAGGACCACATTATAGATGACATGTTGCCTCCAAGACGATGGTATATGTGGAAGAAAATGCCATGTGTAAATCAGCCCAAAGAGACTGGAGCACGAGATTAAAGTGCTTAAGTAAACCATTAAGAGATATGTAGAAAATGTGCTTAAAAGTTTAGCAAAGCTTAGTAGTATTTCATACTTAAACACTATGAATAGTGTTTTCTTCATATTCTTCGTAAGTAGGATATTCTATCCATAAGTAGGATAGAAAATGAAGTGTTTTCTTCATTTTCTTCTTAAGTAGGATATTCTTCTGTGTATATATATTCCTATTTTGCCCAGGTGTCTAGCTGGTTTCTATAGCACTTTTAAAGTAGTACATTCAAACTGCCAAACCAAATTCCAGCAGCCGCAGCAACAGTTATGCAACACATCTGTGATATCAAGGATGACAAGTAACACTTTCTCATAGATGCCTCAGGGCACAATTCTATTCATGTTTAGACAGAAACAACTCCTATAACTCCCAGCATATGCTATCTGGCATGGCTGACTGGAACATGCTCAGGGTTGTAGAATTTTTTTCATAAACATACACATGATAGTCCCCTTAAGGATTTTTTAAAAGTTTCTTGAACTGCATTTTAAAGAACAGAGAAGGATATTCACAAGTATATGTGGAGCTCATGAAATCAAAGACACTGTGCAAGACTAGGTTCTCCAGCACCACTAAGGGTTCTTAGTACTACCTTTTTAAAAGCTAAAAACCATCAAAGTCAGAAGCAACAGCACTTCCAGTCTTACTGCCCACCATCCTCTCTGGCTTGCCATGTAGAAGTCCTGCTTGCTATAATATATGAGAGATATATGAGGACAAAAGGCAGGAAAGTGCAGGGCTTTTAAAGGGACACATATCTGAGGAAGTACCCAGCATCTGTATCTCCAAAGCAGCACTCTGCCATTCAAATAACAATTACATTTCTAAAAATTGATTGGCTTTACTAGTATGCCTTCCATACAGTGCATTCAAAGATTTCCTACCAACAGCAATGTTAATATTTTTTCTTATATAGGAATCTTGTACTGTACTTTAAAAAAAGGAAACTCCTTTATGAGAGTTTCTTGCTCACTTATTGTCCACTTGAAGATTGCAATGATTAGACTAAGAGCTAGTGCCAGAATTATGAAAGCAGAAGTTAGTACTACTTTTTCACTTCAGTGAACTCCTTTCCTCCTACTGGACTCAGCTAATACAGGGATAGTTGTAGGCCAGGAGTGGCCAAACCAAGGCTCAGGAGCCGCATGTGGCTCTTTGAGCTTATTTCGCGGCTTGCCGCTTGCCACCCAGGGTGCCCGCAGGCACCTGCTTGCCATCACCCACTGGCAGCCACTTGTGGCTTTCAAACATCTGACATTTACCATATGTGGCCCTTCGGTTGAGCAAGTCTAGCCACCCATTATAGGCTATCCAAACTAGTTCAGAGATAGAGTCATAGTAGCACTAACCATCCAATTACACTTACAGAAACAATATGCTAAGTTACCTTGCTAAAGAGACACAGAACATTCAAATACTTGAACTTTGGCTCTGAAAGTCAAAACAAGCCAGACAATAAGCATTCTAAATAAACTTTCTTCTGGCTCTCTTCCTGAATCAAAAGAACATTTACAGAGTATGCTAGCAGTTGTAGAAGTGCTTAGGAAACAATAACATGCCTTTCCCAACTTTTCATGTATAAAAATATATTTTTATTAAAACACTTAAGAGTTAAGGCCACAACACTTCAGTGAGACTGTGATAGCCATAGCTATTGCAATAACTAGAGTTACAAATACAAATAAATACTAGGAAGTTGGTCCCAAATTGAAATAAATCAGTCCAAACATGCTAATTTTGCAACCCCCATCATTATAATCATTACATATATGCCATTATTGTTTTCAAGTATAAACTGCAATATTTGCTTGCAAATTGCCAACTGTGGCATTGTATATATACAAGCATCATATATTTCAATATTAAAGTATTACACAAGTAGAGGATGCTTTTCTGTCCCTATTTCCTCGTGGTGGCTCATTTTGATTTTCGCTGGTGTGGTTCTGGTTTTCATCTTTACTCTTTTCCTCAGATATACCTGTTTGATTTCCAGTTTCTTTCTCACTGTGAGGTAGCTTTTCAAGTTTGTTTTCATCACCGCTGGGTGCATTCTTCTGCTTTGAAGATTTTCGTTTAAAGAAAGAAAACTAAGAGAAACCAAAAACACCACTCATAAATTATAACCAACCCTAAATATAGTACATTAAAACTTCTTAAAAATATGCAATAGCCAAAAAGGAAACAGTCTGATAGGAAAGATAATAGGAAACAAGAATGTAACAGTTTCTCAGCATTAAGTCCAACTGATTTAAATAGGACAAACTTCCAAAGAAGTTTGCATATTATTGCATACCAAAGTGATTTAACTACCATGACTGTAGCCAAGAGAAGTAGGCTAAAGAAGTAACATTCCTAATGAGTTATTGTAGAACAAACAAAGCATTATGCAACAGTATGATAACTGATAACAGATGTGTATTTATATCATCTGAGTAGACTGCAAATGGCTATTCTCACAAAATAAACAAACTTATTTTGCCTACCAACAACTTATTCTGCTTTCAATATGAAAAACATATTTGGTATATAGTAATATTGGTTGTAAAATTATCCTACCTAAACAAATTATTGCCATTGTTTTTCACCTCAGTGAAGCTGGCTAACTGTCATCCTAAGCACACACAGCTGGAAAAAAAAATCAGCTTTGTACATCTGTAAAGTTTTCTAAAGGTTTGCCAGGATTACAGTATCTTGTACATTCACAGATCACACACCTGGTCATATAATTCTTTTAACTTCAAACATATACTAATATAAATCAGACATTCCAATGTATCGTGTGTGTGTAAATGTACTTCAGGGAAAGTTCCAGGCCTAAACTTTTCTTCCTAACATCTGTTTCCCACCTTTCTTTCAAATAAAATAAAACAAAACAAGGAAACAAACAAGAAAAGTAAAAGAACATCCAAATAAGAAATCTCCCCACTGGAAGTCAGAAGTTATATGATCCAGAAAGTGTTGTACTATACTGTTTCTACATGTTTGGACTGGCTCCAAGTGAAGAGAATGTAGCAAGGAACAATCATTTTAAACAAGCCAAAAGTGATAATAGCTTGTATTGAAATAAATAACAATGCTCCTATATCATGTAATACTTTCATTAGATTCATTCATATTATCATTCAACTGCTTAGGGCCAACATAATGCAAGGTACTATATAAGCAACCATTGTTTCTTGGAAAACTATAAGTTGTACACTGGCAATAACACCAAGTTATAAAAAATTGAGAATGGAAGCAGATTTCTCACTGCACTTATCCAGAATTTATGTGCACCAGAAAGAGATACAAAGTACACAGATACATAAGGTATGCCCCTTCCTAACCTCCCTACTCAGTGACTATACCAGATCTTTTTCCTTGCCCTGTGTGTGATTGCAAGATCTTCTATATGAACTAGCAATGCACATATTTAATACCTTTAACATACTACCTTGCTTCTATCATTTGATATAATGAATATATCAAATAATACAAAATACTTTACCTTTCAGTAAAATATGGTAACATGCATAGTTTATGGTAGATAATTGGATAATGTGTACAGTGATCTTAGTTTACCCAATATAATGGCTCCGTCCTTTCATATGGAGAAAGTAATCCTATGGCTTTCTATGGATCCTAAATAGAACCCTAACCATCATGGGGCGGGGCAGAGCGGGGGCATAGAATATGCTGTATTCCCACATCTGACCTCTGAAACAGAGATCCAGCCTTGGAGCTTGGGATCTGTAGTCCAACCCTCCTCACTGCACTGGGATCTGTAATTCAACCCTAAATTCCCAAGCATCACATCCTGTGTGTTTGGGAATTTAACTTCCAAGAGTGGGGGCATCTAGTGGGTAGGGAGAGGAAGAGACCATCAAGGTCAGGATATGAACTATCCTGCATCCTCTGTAGTGTCTCTCTCTCCCCTTCTGAAATCCATTTTCAGCCATCCAGCAAAAATGCAGAGTCGGAGGTGCAAAAAGGCACCAATTGTCTCTGCCTCTTGCTCTGCACAGGATGTTTCTACGACTCTGAGTTTCTACCCTATTAATACTCTTGTTTCAATATGATTTTTACAATGATTCATGACAAAATGTGCACATTAAAAAAAAGTTCACACAAAACTACATTACAGCAAGAAAAATAGTTGAGGTAATGTATATATTTGAAAAATGTGCACAGGAATGCACATATTTGGAAAAATGCACATAAAATGTGCCAAGTTCCTTTCAATTTAAAATAAAATTTGGAAACCTGTACAGAAACAGGACAGTACAAGCTTAAACCTGAAAATTTGTCAGTCCCAGAGGGAATTAATAGGTCCATCTGTCCTTAATTATAGTCCAGAAAAAGTGATTTTAGTTTGAACATGCAAAACCCCATAAAAAGGGGACAGTCAAACACCCTGGGTCATGACTGCTATGGCCTATATACAGTTGTGCTACTAATAATTCACAAGTACAGATTAATGGCTGTTGAGGTGCTGACCCACTGCTACATGATGTTGTATATGACTCTCAGGAAGCGGTCTTGGTCAGTCATTAACTCAGGCATGCTTACTATTGGGCAGCGAGGTGCCCTTCACCAAATAGTACCTGAATGTCAGTGAGCAGCCTTGCTAAACTCCCCAGGACTGAGTGAAAGAGACATTTTGGTTAACTGCATCTGTCCTTGCATGCCACTTCTCTAGTCTGCACTATGGAGCCAGAATGCATGCCAGTAGGAATCATATTTGTGTTTGCCCTTCTTATTTCTCAGAGTTTCTACTTTCATGAGCCAGCCTCTCACACATTTTAGCAACAATGCACCAGAAAGGAATGAATGAATGAAGGAAGGAAGGAAGGAAGGAAGGAAGGAAGGAAGGAAGGAAGGAAGGAAAAGGAAGGAAGGAAAAGGAAGGAAGGAAGGTGTCCAATGAAGAAGATGAAACAGTATGGAGAGTTGTTTACATGATTCCAGGTATGTGTCAGATGTACTAATAATAGTTTGCTTCTGTGTCAATCTGTACAGGATTTAATTCTATTATTACTTTTTTTTTACCCTTTTTGCCTTCTCAAGGAGTCGTCCAGATGATCTGTCATGAGTGTCTGTAACGGCTTGTGAAGAATTGCTTGCAGTATGGACTTCAGCCTTCTTATTCTCTAAAAATAACATAAGTTAGCCACCATTTTTAGAAGTTCTCTTTTCAACAATCTTAAAAACCATGAGCCCGTCTTCTTAAATGTGGAGGTAAATAGGATTCAGTTAAGCTGAAATTATGCAGCAAAACCTCAAGAATTGTAGCTTTATTTAGCTCATGCCTATTTTCAGTTATTTTTATTGGACTCCAGATGCTAAGACAGAAGAATAGGTTTAATATTGATAGGCATGTAAAATGTTTTGTCTAAAAAACTTACAGGCGACAGAAGGCAGGATATACTTTACATAAAAGCAAGACAATAGGAAATAACCCACCCAATAAGGTTCTTTGAGGTTTCTGAGCTTTCTCCTAGCAGAGGACTATTCTGCAATACTAGGAGCACCTCCACACAGCACAGTCCTCCTCTAGTTTTCTGGCTGCCTGACCAAGTAAGTAAAAATAGTGTCTAGGAAAGAAGTCCCTGGCTCAACCCTTAGAATTTGAGAATTGTCTGATCAAAAATAAGAAAGCTCATCCTTGTTTCCTATAACAACTCTCATCCTGGATTTATATAATGATTTGGAACCCAGTATGGACAGAATAGTAAGCTGCGGTTTAAACTTTAAAGTAAAGTAACCACTGTTGAAGTGGGGAGGGCCAAAGGAGAGTGTGCTTGGCCTGATGCTCATTCCTAGATTAATAAACAATTGCTTATAAAGCTAGGATTGCTACAGCCAAACCAGACCTATCTGTGCACATGGCAGGGATCAGGTGCACCGGAACAGCATACCCAATGCAAAACCTGCATGGGCACTCTCCCAAGATTGTGTTGGTTTATCACAGCTTTTATGAGCGACACGTTGCCTTCTCTTGCTAATGCAGCACTTTCTGTGCAGTGCCTCTTTGTAAGGAAGCATACAGTACAAGTAGAACAGAAACAACCAATGACGTGTACTTGCTCACTGTGCAACAATACTATGTACAGTGGTACCTCAGCTCACAAACTTAATCCGTTCCACAACTCTGGTGGGAGCCAAGTCAAATTTCCCCATAAGGTTCAATGTAAATAAGGTTAATCCATTCTGCCCCTTATGAACGTGGTCGTGAGCCGATTTTGGTCACGAACCATGTCAAATTTGCCCATAAGGTTCAATGTAAATCAATGTAAATAAGGTTAATCCATTCTGTAAATATTTTTCTAATCACAAAAATTTGAAACAAAGTAACGAAGAACAACGAAGTACAGTACAGTAGAGAACACTAACCTAGGTGGGTGGGAGGTTATTGTTTGGAGGGAGAGTCCCCCTCCATAAGGGCATCGGGGAGATCTCCTTCAGGGGTTTCCTCTGTTCTTTGTCTCTTAGCTGCAGGGTCAAGTTTGGTGAAAAATCTGCACGTTCTGGACACCTCCATTACCGCTCTGCACATTCTTTTTATCCCCATGCTTGCTCTGCACTTTCTTTGGAGCCATTATTCAATAAGCTTCACAGCAAGTGATCACAAGTCTGTCTGCGACCGTGAGCGAGGAAGATGGCCATGATTGTGATTGTGTTCTTGCGGGAACATGGTGGTGACTGTGGTCATCACCCGATGTGGAGTTTGTGACCTGAGGCAATTATTTTAAAATTTCTGTTTGCAACCTGATTTGGTCATGAACTGAGGTGTTCGTGAGCCAAGGTACCACTGTACTTGCTTTCATGTGCATCAATGGAAGGACATAACTTGTCCGCAAGGAAAACTCAATGCAATTAGGAAGACACTGGGGCTGGAGGCAAAATATGCTCCCTTACATTGGGATCACCAGAACCTGGGAAAGGGCAAACTTTTCCCCCATCTCAATTGTATCCCAAATTACAGTAGGTTATCTTGTTGCACATCTTTTCCTGCCTCATTCACAGAACTTTACCAGATGATGTTTTCATCATGTTATGCCTCCTATTACTTCTTCTGTCTTTTTATTTAAATACCTCCCCAAAAAATATCAGAGAGGAAAAGACTGAAAGACTGCATTTTTTGGATAGAAATGCAAGATGCCCTCTATCTGGAAACACATCAATAATCAATGGCTAGTCTCTACACTCTTTCCTTGGCTCACAAGTCACTGAATGTAGCTTTTGGATTCTACTGGCTGGTCTGTAGCACAGATAGGCACATCTTAGAATGGCACGTGCCTGGAGCTGGCTTGTTGACTGCACGGACAAAATGGTTCCCTCTTATCCATTAATCTTGCTGTTCCTTCATACTTTCTTTACCACAAGGGAAACAGTTTTCAAAGACTGATAGCTCCGCAAACTGACACTAGAAGGATCTTTGATATATAACCCCACTGCTCTGCTCCAAAGATTCCACAGTTCCACATTTGGAGGATAAAGACTTTAGTGTATTCTTTGATGTTGATGTTTGTCATCAACCAGGACAGATATAGTGCTAGTGCACTAAAAAAAGTGACAAGAAGATCCCAAGAGTTAATGGGGATCAAAGCTTGATGATTCAAGGGTCACATCATCTTCCTTTCTACAATCCCCTGTCCCCAGGATTTATGGATTTATTTCAAGCCTAGATTGTATTCTGTGTTCAGTCTTTGATTTTATTTGTAAGATGAAAAACAGCAAATGAGATATTTCTTTCCTACATAGGAACAGGTAAAACAATGTCAAGGCACTTCTGTTATACAGCTTTTCTTCCATTTTAAAATTACAGCTGTGAAGAATGAAATAAGATCTAAGACAACTCTGCTATTTACAGAACGTTTCCTGCAACTGGCCTAGAATTTTATGTTGTTAATATAGTTGGCATTAACAGTGTTTTGTCTCTCTTTCTAAAATTGGCAGACCTCAGTTCTTTTTCTAGCTGACACAAAGCAGACCACAATGACAGCGTGGCAAGGGCAGAGGGGCATGTAAATCTTCTACAGTAACTGTAATATTAAGGGTAAAGCAGAGTCCCCTAGAAGGAAAAAAAAATGCTAATCTGATCCAACAAGGCTACCTATCTTAATGCATCCAAAATATTAATGTATCACCAGCTGGACAGGTACCAAAAAAAAAAAAAAGGGAGGTGTGAAATACCAAGCAAATGGTTCATATGCACTACATGGAAAAGGGCTTTTCTACTGAATTATCCATCAGTACAGAGTTAACAATCAGCAAACATAACATTGGACCAATTGACACAAGGCAAGGACATGTACCTACAATAGACCAGGAGCAGCAGTCTGCACTTCTCATCTTATTATTGCATAAACAATATATTGTAGGAAGCTTAAAACACAACCGCACAAGGAAAGACAACGGGTAAGTTGGAACAACAAACTACAGCACCCTGCAAATAAGCTACATAATGTGAGTTGTTTGTCTAACAAACCACAGCACACCCAACAGATGATCAGACTCACCTTGGCTTGTTTTTCCCCTCCTTCCTTCTCAGTCCTCTAATCAATATTTCAGGGTTCTTCATGGCAGAACCCATCTTGTCTCCCCCACCCCACCAATTTGATAACCTCCCCTTTTCATTCACTACTATTTCTTAAAAAGAAAATTAGACAGTTCAAACATGCAACTGGGATTAATATTTTGGCAACTATGTTAGTATTTTTAAAAATTACTATTTTTGTTGGTCTGTCACAGCTGGGCAAGTACACATTCATGGCTGTATAGTCTCACCTTCTCAATAGGATTGTGTGGTGCAGTAGGTAATGTAGAAGGAAACTGACAAAGTAAAACTTCATGTAGCTGTAAACTGAAGAAAGGAAAAAGAGAACGCAAGTGCACCAAAAGTGGGTAGGACAGTATCAGCCCTGAAGCAATGTAATCCTCTGGCTTTTAAGTGTTAAACTGGGAGTTTTCAGTGGCTTCCACCTCTTCAACACTTCTCTGGGTTTCTAGCTACTCCAAAAAAGGGACTAATTAAGGAACTAATATGAGAACCCATGGTGGGTTAAACAACACCTAGAAAAAGACATGGGTTGGTCAGGATGGTTTGTTGCCCCAAAATAACCTGTGGGGAGTGGCTCATTATGGGTTATTAGCCATACTGGCTTGTTGTGACATGTGAATGTAGTCAGTGTGGTCCAGTGGTTAGAGTGTTACACTTTGGAGAATTGGAATCTAGTCCCCATGAAGCTCACTGGGTGTCTTTGGGCCATTCGCCAATTCACAGCTTAACTACCTCACAGGGTTGTTGGAGGTATCACTTTATCCGAAAAGCTGTGCTTTGAGAAAAGAACTGCAGCTGAGCCATGGAAGCCCAGAAGAAAAGGTAGAACATTACACTTAACAATCAACAAAGGGCTGGAACTCCTTTTAGAAACAGAATTCTGATTTCTGAACAGAAGCCAACATTTCTCAATATCATTTCTCAAGAAACAGGTGAAAATGTTAAATGTAGAAAATAAACTGGCACATTTGTTCCCACCTTGCTTAGTTGTGTCATCCTCTGGAATAGCCTCTTCTTTCTAAAAGTGGAAGGAAGGAAGGAAGGAAGGAAGGAAGGAAGGAAGGAAGGAAGGAAGGGTGGGGAGAAAGAAGGAAATCGTAATGTTAAAACATATAAAACAAAATGCTTAGGAATATAAGAAAAGACATGCTGGATCAGAGTGAGTCTCTGTCTCAGCATTTTATTCACACAGTGGCTAACTAATTACCACTGGGGAACCCACAGGCAGGCAGGGCTGCCTGCAGAATGCTCAGAGTATCTTTTAAAAAATCAGATTTGACAAGCAGTTAATTTTGTTTATTGAACATATCAAGAATTCCGGAGCAATTATAAAGCACAGGATGGCAGGGTGCATTGAAGAGGCAGGAGAAGTAAAGAAATGTGAGTCACCTGATTCACAACTGGAAGCACTACATATGCATGACTCTAAATCCCTGCCCCAGTAAGACATCAAGTCCAGGGTCTGCACCACTCTTCTTGCCTCCGAGTCCTCCTCTTTCTCCCTCCCCACCCTGTCCTTATATCCTCATACATGAAGATCTTCACACTGTCAGCTTCACTGTCCTCCAAGGATCAAAGATCTTGCTGCACCTCAATAGGCTTCACCTTTCTCCCTTGCCACCCCGGCATGCATGAAACTGCTTCCCAGGGCACCCACAGGGCACCACCTCTTTCCTTCCTTCTGAAGTCTCTTCAAAGCTTCCTAGGTTCTCATGCCTTAATGAAATGTAGCCTGCAACCACGCCTACAGGCATGCCACTGAAACAACTGCATGCTGCTTCCTTGTTAACCCATCTTCCCAACCTCTGTTAAGTTACTGATGGATCATAGATAAGCGGAGGGCTGTTGCCCCTCTGTTCTGATGCTGCTAAATAAATAAATAAATAAATAAATAAATAAATGTGGTAAAGTCTACATTGCACCTCTTGAATTTGTATGTTTAATGTTCTATTGAGCAAATTATGCCAGAGCAAATACGTGGCTCCATTCTGGCATTTTATTAACAGTATGATATGATAGGATATAAACTACTGCATGCCCAAGAGATACCAACCTGAAAACAGAAAAATGGTTTACCTCTATTGTTTCTGTAGTCATAGGATTCTTTTCCTCATTCTCACATAATTTTCTGCTGTGTCCCTCATCCTCAGAAGTTTGATCATCATGTTTTGCTTTATCCTTTTCTTCCTGTTTGTCTGTATCCTTTTTTTCACAATAGTAATCATCAATGCCATCTTCCTCCTCCTCGTCCTCAACCTCTTCCTCGTCCTCATTAGATGACTTTTGATCCTGTTGTTGAAGAAAAAAATTTATAACCTTTGTTCAGGTGAATTAATTAAAGCTTCCTAGCCCTATATCAAACTTTCAGATACTGCAATCCAGAACTCCAGTATTTAAATCAGTTCTTTAAAAGAAGTCTAAGAAGTTTGTTTACAGAAAAATCTGAAAATGTAGCACATACATTGCAAAACTATCTTCAGGACTATTGACTAACACTGATATGGATAATAAGATATTTACCATTACATTCCCAAGAAACTTGATATGAATTAATGGTTTACCTCTATTGTTTCTACAGCCGTCAGATTATTTTCCTCACTCTCAAATGATTTATTGCTCTGTTCCTTATTTTCAGTTGCTTGATTATCAACATGCTCTGCTTCATCTTGTTCTTTCCTGTCTTCATTGCCAATGCATTCTTTTTCTTCATGGTCTTCTTCTTCAGCAGCATCACTATCACTCTCTTCCTCATCAGATGATTTCTGATTCTGTGATATCATTGAATACATGTTTTACAGCCCATGATCATCAGAATGAACAACAACTTCCTAATTATGTAGCAGTCTTTCATACCAGCCAGACAATGCAGTCCAGAATTTCAAAATTTAAAGAATTTTTCTAAAGGGACTGAAAACCATTTACAGAGATTTCTGAGAAGTGATGGAGCAGCAGAAATATTGCAAAACTGTCCTAACCAATGACCTCAACTGAGTTCCAGCTCAGACTGCAGACTGCCACATTAGTGAGTCTCGAATTCATCTCCTTATCTCCCAGCGAGCATCTCATATTGCAGCAACTCCTCTATATTTTACAGGAATTTTGCAAATGCTATTGTAAAATATGCAAGTCATTAAATTAGGGCAGGTTTATACAAAATTCCATAAACATTGCAGTCAAGCCAAGTTAAATCCTCTCTGTGACTCTAAAATACAATGCATACTCTGACATTTGCTCTTGAAAGAAAGTAGTCCTTTAACTCAATACAAAAAGGTTTCAACTTTTTAAAAAAATAGATACCAGCTTGGAGATAACATGAAAACGTCTATGAAAAAATGAAATCTCTTGCTGTGAAATATCAGGAAAATGTAAAGAAACCATTCAAGAAGCACAATAATAACTGCATGTCCTGCAGTTATAACAACTCAAACGAAATTAAGTCTGAACTGGAGGCAACAACAGAATCCCAATGGATTTGCCAGAGAATGGACTCTCCTTTAGTATAAGAAATACGTATGACATTTTCAAAACTATTCTTCCTCATACAATGATGCAGATATTAGGATCCTTTTTTAATCTAATCTAAATATATGTCAATATTTAAATTCAACAATGCTATAAAACAAGTTTTGCGGAATGAGGAAATATACTTTGAAATGGGTTAAATGGCACAGCTTAGGGATAGAACAAACATCTGAAGGTATTTTAATCTGAGCAAGATTGCCATGGTAATTATTTGCAAGAAACCTGTGTAACGATTTTAAGGCTTGTAGTGCTGTACACTGGGAGCACTGAACGTTTTTTAGCCTGAAGGCCACACTCCATTTTGGAGAACTTCTCTGGGGCTACATTTCAGTGCAGCATCAGACCAAAAACACAAGTGCATGTGGTCACAAAATACCAACATATTTTACCTAAAAGCTCTTACAGCCTGTAATTAAACCATAGGACAGGTGTTGCAATTTTACTATGCTTGTACAGGACTGTGCTGTAAGTTTCGTAAATGTTTCCCTCCAGGTAGTCACCTTTATTTACAATTATATGTGCATGAATTAAAGACAGTAATATTAATTGACATGAACAAATACCTTTCAGTGACAATTGTATTAGTCTTCAGAATAGATACCATTCATTTGTGATAGTTGAGATATAAAGAAAAGCTAATCCAGATTTAGGGCTTTAATACGTTAAAGTATTAAGTCATATCTGTTACATCTGCTTTGAATTAATTAACAATCTCGCATAACCCCCCATATACTCAATATACTTTTAAATGTTACATGATTATCAGAGTAACCACATGCTATTAATACAAGTAGAAGATCTCTTTACTTTTGACTGTCGGGGGAGATGAAGAGGATTATTGCGTAAAATCAAAAGCTAGTTTATCTTTCCTGATTAAAACAGAAACTAGATCCAGTTTTTCAAACTGGAGGATTTCTACTTTAAACAATAATGACAGCAAGTAATGACAGAAAGCAAACTAGATGTGCTTGTTTCCAAGAGTCCTGTTATGAATACAATACCATTACAGTTTTTCAGTGGTGTGCTGTAATGCAGTTGCTAAATTGTCACAAAAATGTCAGTGACACACATTACCCACTGTTATTCTTTGAGATAGTAAGTTTCGGACTATTTACTCTCCACAAAATTGCAGGACTGCTGTTGCTACTGTGTTTCCACTGTGTTGCACCAGCAGGGCCCATCATTAGTATGACAAGAAGCTAGCACTTCTTAGCCAGCACAATCCTGTAAATAAGCTGGAACACTCTTTTCAGAATGAAACATGTCAGCAAAACTCTATTCTGAGGGCTCTGCTGACCTGTTTCTTTCTGGAAATGAGCTGTACAACTCGTCTCCACTTCCTTTACAAAGCACTAGCTTCTTGTTGTACTAGTGGCCATGTGGGCAGCACTGAATACTGTCCATGGAATTGATCACTAACTATCCAAAAGAACAATGTGAGAAATTTAAAAAAATAAATGAAAGTTCTAAGTTTGTATTGAGGCAATTTCCAAAAGGGCAACTGCTTTTGAATTTCAAAAACTTAGAACAGTTTCTGAGGTCTGTAGATAGAAATTCTGCTTTCCTCAGAGTGCACACATATGCTCTTTTATCCTAGTTTGTATGGATTCTGTCCCTAAATTCAAGTCTTTAGCAGGATGAACACACTCCCAATTTTTTTCACTTCTAAAATAAAGACAAAATATAAGCCAACACAACTATTAATACCACAACAAACTCTTTCTAGTTGTTTAAAATCTCACTATAAGCAATTCAAATAAAATGCCCTGAAATTGTACACTTTTCTTTTTCTCTTTCAATTTAAAAGGAACTATAATCTATATTTTGCCATATACCATTTTAGCAGCCTCTCAGCAAACAAATAAAAGCATATGGTTCTTCCCCTCACTCCAATTCCCTTCAACTGCCCAAACATTACACTGTATTTACTAAATAGGGATGCCTTAATTCTAAACACATTCACATACAAGACCCATTAGCAGCAATGAACCAGATGCACCCATCAGTGCATACGTATAAAATGTTTAAGATTAGAATAATTGCCTATTTTTCAAAATATCAAGAAAATATACGGTTTGTCTCTTCAAAGATGTTGCTACATGAAGAAAAACATTTACTTTTGTTAATTTTTGTTATTTAGTCATGTTTACGCACCTTTTTAATTATTTATATATTTTGCAATATTAACTACCCTCCCTTCCTATCACTTTAATAGTCCCTCTTTGACCCTGTTACCAATTTGCAGAGGCAACTTCTTCAGTCCCCTGCGATATGGAAGCAAAAAAAAGACGAACAAAAAGAGACAGTACCTGCAGCAAGAACTTGAGTTAGTAAGATATGTTTGGAAAGGAGATTTCACTTACTATTCCGGACTTATTTTTCTGGATGAATAGACCAACAAGATCTGTCAAGCAGTATTAACATTCACTTAATTCTTTTAACTATGTAAGAGCACTTTGGCTTAATGGCCAGTTCATACATCCCTTTTCCTTAACTTGGGCACGCCAGCCCAGGTTGTTGATTTTTTTATTCCAGTGGATTTTAAAAGGTAACCCAATTTTGGAAATATCCAGACCAAGAAACATCACTCCGTAATTCAACTCATACTTCAAACACTTTTAAGACATTGAGTATTGTGACCTGAACAGAGGCAGCAGCTGCCTTAAACAACATGACAGAAGTTTGTGGCAATGTCATTGAGTGGTTAAGCATCAGTGAAATGGGATCCTGAGAACAGAGGAGCAAGAACAGAATCAGGGGCACTAGTTTACTGCAAGATGATGGCTGTACTTTAATATGGAATTCATATTTCAGTGACACAATCGGTATGCTTATCCAGGGCAAGAAATTCCATTTTAGTTAAAAATAGCATAAGGCCTCAATGCTTATGGTGGGATAATAGCTTTCAAAAATAAAGTGTCTAGAAGGGATCTGTAAAACCAAAAGGGCTTCATTTTAATCCTCTTTTTCCCATTAACCCAAGCTTTAGCAGAATGAACAGAATAGGTCCTAGTATGCCCCCTCTTAGAAATTATTAAATTTGGGACTGCAGGTGGCGCAGTGGTTTAAACCGCTGTGCTGCTGGGCTGGTTGATCGAAAGGTCGCCAGTTTGAATCTGCACAACGGGGTGAGTTCCCGTTGCTCCGTCCCAGCTCCTGCCAACCTTGCAGTTCGAAAGCATGCAAATGCAAGTAGATAAAAAGGTACTACTTTGGTGGGCAGGTAACAGCATTCCGTGCACTTCGGTGTTTAGTCATGCTGGCCACATGACCACGGAGACTGTCTGCGGAAAAATGCTGGCTCCCTCGGCTAGGAAACAGAGATGAGCACCGCCCCCTACAGTCAGGCATGACTGGACTTAACGTCAAGGGGAAACCTTTACCTTTACCTTTACCTTTATTGTGTCTTACTAGCCAATGGTATGTGGTGAGATGTTGGAATAAGGTTCCACTTGATACAGGCACACCACTGAAGGAGGGTCATAAAATCCTGACTTCCCCAAGGAACTCAGCAGCAAAAATGCTCCAGTGAAATAGACGGAAGTTTCTGTAGGAAGAGGGAGCCGTTCCATTTGCGGAAGGAGGACTCTGGATCCAAGCCACCGATTCTAAGGCACTGAACTCTAGCTCAGTAATGAAGATGCCATTATTCTCTTAGATCTTTGTTCCTAACAATATGGCAATGATTACACGGAGTTATCTTACAAAGCTGCTGTAGGGATTACAAGTCAAACATATCAAGGATATTAAACACTTTGAAACACTGCATGAAAGTGCTATTGCAGTCATACCTGTGGCCAGTAACAAACATGAGCTAGTCAGGTTCTCTGCATACACTGGATCTAAAGTAGGAAGACATGGGTGATATGCAGGAGGGGTGTGACATGCAAAAAATCCTGCACCAATTCTGTTTCTCTGGCAATGCAGGCAGCAATGCTCCAAATAGTTACACTGTGATTGCACTAATGTGCAAGGCAGACACTGGGAATGAAGCCACATCACATCACTTGGTTTGGATTCACAGCGTGTGATACGACAATTGTTTTTCACAGGCAGAATTTAAGACAGAAATTTCCAAGTGTGTTAAGAAAGTGTAGTAAACTCTGAGCCTTTCTGAGGGTTACTTTAGTGTCAAATAATGGGGAAGCACATTGTTCCAAAACTGTTGCGAATGTTGTAGGCCATTTGCCACACATTGTTTAGATGTCACTCTTTGTTTAGAGCTTTTAATTTTACTGTTTATCTCCTGTTTTCTTCTTTTATTATTTTCTTGATGTTTATGACTTAGGGTTTTCCTGTGCACTTCCTGCCTTTCCTCTTCCTCTTCCGCTTCTTCATCTTGCTCCTCTTTAGAACCTGATGTGGTTTCCATCCCTTCCTCCTCTTCTGACTCATTTTCATTTTCCTCCTCCCCCTCTTCAATATTTTTTTCTTCCTCTTCTCCTGCTTCTTCCATCTCTTTCTCTTGCCCTCTCCTCTCCTCCTCCTGCTCTGCTTCTTCCTCCTCTTCTTCCTCATTCTCGTTTTTCTCCTCTCTCTCTTCTTCGGCAGCATTATCTTCCCCTTCTCCTTCCCCCTCCTCCTCTTCCTCACCCTCTTCCTCACTCTCTTCCTCACCCTCTTCCTCTTCCTCACCCTCTTCCTCCTCTTCCCCTTCTTCTCCCTCTTCTACTTCCTCCCCTTCTTCCTGTTCTTCCTCTTCCTCACCCTCTTCCTCCTCTTCCCCTTCTTCTCCCTCCTCTTCTACTTCCTGTTCTCCTTCTTCCTGTTCCACCTCCTCCTCCTGTTCTTCTGCTTCTTCCTCCCCTTCTTCCTGTTCCTCCACCTCCTCTTCCTGGTCTTCCCCTTCCTCTTTTTCTTGTTCCTCCTCCTCCTCCTCCCCTTCCTCCCCCTCTTCCTGGTCTTCTCTTTCTTGTTCTTCCTCCCCCTCCTCCTCCTCTCCTTCCCATTCTTCTCCCTCACCATCCCCTTCTTCCCCCTTCCTCTCTTCCTCCCCTTCCTCTTCCCCTTCTTCATCTACCTCCTCTCCATCTCCTCCTCCCTTCTCATCTTCCCTTTCTTCATCCTTCTCTTCCTTTTCATTCTTATTCCCCTCCTTTTCTTTTTCATTCACCCAATCATTCTCCTCTTGTTCCTTCTCTACTATACCAATTTCCTCCACAACTTCACCCTTCTCTGCATTTTCAGATTTTTCTTCCTTTTCAACCTCATCTATAATTTCCTCTTCTCCTTCTTGCAGTTCAGCACCTGTGTCATCTTTCTCTTCAGTATGTCTTATTTCGAGATTCTGTTCCAATACATCTTCCATCCTATCACCATTTTCTACTTCAGAGTGTAATTCATGATTTTCATTTTCTTCATCATCTACAGCACCATCTTCTTTATAGTCCTTATCAGTTTCATTTTCATCTTCCTCTCCTACAGATTTTAATTCATTGTCAGTGTTTTCATCTTGCATTCCACCTTCACTTTCCACTTCTTCCCCAATCATTTCCTCATTGCCTGGATCACTTTCAATATTCTCTTCTTCCACCTGAGCATCCTTCCCTGATATATTGTCTATATTTGCCACCTCTTCACTCTGACTTTGCATACTGATTTCTTCAAAGACCTTCCTTTCTTTATAGGCATCTTGATCTTCTTCCCACTTAATAATTTGGTCTTCTGTATCCATTGCTCTTGTTGCCATATTTCCATAATTAGACTGGTTTATCTGAATAATATAGTTTGCTGAGCCATTATCTGTTTCCTCACTTGAAGATGATGACACAGTTACTGCCATTTGTTTCATGAATTTTTCTTTATGTTTAAATTCTCTCTGTTCTTCAGTGCTTTCTTTACCTTGCCCATATTTCCCATATTTGTCAGGTTTCACTTCTTTAGCCTCTGCTTTATTTTCCTGATGAGCCAAATGTAGTTTTTCTACCTGATTATTATTTGGAAGGCTGCATGGCATTGTTTGCTGAATTGATCTAGAATGTATGTGATCCACTTTTCTCCTTTTTGGTATTTTAAATTTTCCTTTAATAGTCTGTTCAGTGCCAGACTGCACTGGACCACCAGTAAATGCCTGTTCAGGTTTGCTTTTTGAATACTTTCTGCCAGCCTTAATTTTCCTCATGAAAGCATGATAGCAGCTTTTTTCTGCATGAGGATCGTTTCCAATATACTCTGAATGTATAGGCTCCACCTGAGGAGACATTTCATTTGATTCCAAGCCCTCCTGAAGTTGGATAAGACCAGACTCTTTCATTCCACCGTTACCATGAATATTCAGTCTCACATTTTTATTTTTCTTCTAGTCCACATGAGAAGCAAGAAAGAAAAGAAAGAAAGGGAAAAAAGTATTAAGAAAAAAATGAGAATGAATGAGAATACAAAAACTAACACATAAACAAAGAAGAACATGAAAAGGAAGGTAAGTAACTTGTCAGATGGAAAAGAGACTTAAATATAGAAAACTTAAAAGATAACAGAATATGGGCCAGATTCAGATAAGCATGACTAGCCCTCCACTTGTCCAACAGATTCTCAGCACCCTTCCCTCCGTTACAACCCTCCATGCCCCATAAAAGACTGCTCCTGAGGATCAGAGGTCCATCTGCAATGGGGCAGAATTTGCCACAGGAGATCACAATGGGAGGGAGAAGTTGGGGTACTTGATGTGGGGAAGCCATTGCCTTTCAGCAAGTGGAAGTGTATTTTCACTTGTACAAGGCACTTTTGGATATAGCTGAGTAATTCCCATGCTATACTAAATATGTTCCTATTGTTTCTGTAGCCATAAAATTTGTTATAGTAATATGCAAATTGTTTGTGAAATTCACTTTTTCTTGCTATTTGATATTACACACCCCAACATGTGTATACAACCATCCACTTCTGAGCATGTACACTACCATCCTGTAACTCCCACTTTTTTCAAAATTTCTTTTCTATATATATACTGTGTACTTCTCACAGCCCCAGTACAGATTTCTCATGTGCACACCCACTGCACACAGTTCTGTCCACACATTCTGTTGCTCATAGATGCAATGGTGAAGCTCTTTTAGGTGGAAGAAGTCCAGAACCATAAGAAAAGAATGAACTGTAGATTTTAATCTAGGATTAGTGGCCACGTCCCCCCTCCAAAAGAAGCTATGTTATTAATCATCCTTTTGTCCTGCACATTTACAAACTGCATTTAAACTTTAAAATCACAACACAATATTCTGGACACAAACCAGCCATATATACAGATGTTTAAGCCTCATTAATATTCACTAGGAAATAATGATGTGCTTTGCTTTGCCATTGATATGAATAAGGCTCTTTTTAGGCTAGATCATGGCCATTGTTCTTTAGGATTTTTCCCAAATAAAATAATACAAATTACACTTTCCTTCAGTGATAAAGAAATCTTTATAATGCGTAGGAACTCTACTTGAGAAAAGTATAAAAAAGATTCTCTTGATTTGTCCCACTTTCCCAGCATTACTTAAATACTTTTTGTTCCATTGGAGTACATTCAAGAGTCATTATTTTAATACCTAATGCACAACCCCTTTCTTCACTAAAAGGAATAAAAATGAAGTCCTATAATACACTGACTGTGCCCCCATCATTCCATATAAGTTTGTATAAACTGAAGCAACTGTTTTGTATATAAGCCTAAATGCATTGCTTGAATCAAAGGTTGTCTATTATTTGTTTCATGCAACTACTATTAAATGCAGTGAAAATTCAGCTGTTTCAAAACGGCATTTAATGGATCAGCTGGTCTACTATTTATTGTCCAGTTAACATTTTTGGCCATAGAAAAATTACACATTTTTAAATAAAAGTCATATATAGAGGGACAGTACCTTTTGTTTTTGAACTGGTACCAGTTCTAAAGATTGGTCATTGGGATTCAATCTCATCACATGAGTCTGAAAAATGTTTTGATAGTAAGTCAGTAACAGCAATTAACTAGTGGTTATGAATTACATACGAACAGCTTGTTGTTTCTAATTGAAAGATCTCAAAGTACTTTTCAAATAATTAGCTTTTAGTCTGAAGTACCAGAATCACAGAAGAATAGGAAGCTGCTTGATGCCAGGTTAGACAATTGGTCTGTCTAGCTCACTACGGTCTACCCAGAACTAGAAACAGCTCTGCAGGATCTCAGGAAGAAGCCTTTCCCCCTTGTCTGCTAACCAAACTCTTCCACTGGAGAAAATTATTTATGCTATGGTATGCTATGCATATACCAACTTTTTCCTGCAGGGAACCCATGGTAATTTATATACTTGTGCTCCTCTCCAATTTATCCTCACAACAACCCTGTGTTGGAGATTAGGCTGAGAGTCAGTGGCTGGCCCAAAGTCACCCAGTGAGCTTCACGGACATGTGGAGACTAGAATCTTAGATCTGCTGGGTCCCACTTCAACAGTCTAGTACAATTCACTGTCTCTTTTACAAGAGATGTGGAGCAATTTACGCTAATCCAGAATTAAACAAATTGGGCATTTTTCATGCCACTTAAGCCAAGAAGACCCAGTAGAACCACAGTGGAGTCACTAACCTCATTGAGATACAATGCTAATTTACTGTATTTCTGTGAGGCTGCAACGTGAATGGAAACCTTACATTCTGTTTTAAATTAATCTCAGTTTAGTGCTGTATCCAAACCTGGCCCAATTATGTGTAGTTAGTTTACGTCACCAATTTTGTCACAGGGTTTACAAGGTTGGGTTTTTTCAACAAACATAATTAAGTTTAGCTGCAGTTTAGGGGTTGGGCACAATGCAAACTGTTGCTAATCGAAAATGCATGTGAAAGTTTCTGATCTCCCTATAGCAGCAGCAGAGGAGAAAGGGAGAAATGCATGAACCTGAGGACACTAGTGTCAAAATAAGGCTTTGCTGGTAACAAATATAAAGAAACCAGTTGAGATGCAACACTTATGAAAACAAACAGAACAAAAAAAAAAAGATACCTATTAAATGTATGCATGTCTGATAAGCTTACATGTGGAACTTCCTATCCAAAGCTTACATGTGGAACTTCCTATCCTATTCCTTTCTACCAACTGTCTTTCAGATCACATTATTATTCCTTCAGAGCATTTATATCTTTGGTTATCCTGAAGTATAAAAATAATCACAGAGGATTCTTCTTTTTAAAATTAATGTGGGCCATCTCATACTGAGGAAGTTCTGGATCCTGAACAGAATTCTGGCACAGAAGCTGTAAACAGATCATATATCTGTGTAAATGAATTTTTAATTTGTTAATTTTTCAAAACTGCTTCCAATATTGAACAAATGTTAATAGTAACTTTTTAAATCTCTCAGGAACAAGGAACTGTAACTCAGTGGCAGAACATGTGCTTTGCTCACAAAAAACACTCAAATTCAACCACAAGCATTTCCAGATACAGCTGAAAAAGACCCTTGTCTGAAATTTGGAGAATCACTTCCAGTCATGATATTAATAGCAGGCTAGATGGACCAGGGTCTGACACTGGATAAAGCAGCTTCCAATGTCACTCATTATTTGACTAAAGGCACTGAAACGATTATTACTGTTAGCAGAAAACCCATATATTGGTAATTTTAATGAACACAGAATAAGATGGCTTGAGGAGAGGAATGTTGGGAACAACTACCGATGCATATGTTAACATAACTTGAGCTGGGACATTATTGTAGAGAATATGCTTCACTTGGAAAAATTAAACAAGATAGACTGTCCTACACTTTGAACATTACAAGCAATGTATGCCGTGACAATGTTTCAGATATCAAGAGGAGGCATCTGATACCAGCCTATAAAGCCAAGGCCCGGAGACTTTCATTGTCCTAACAGTGTCCATAAATTGAGACTGATACAGCAGACTCCTGTGGATGTTACACGGGTAATGAATCAGTATGCCAGCCATGCTACAAGAAAGCACCTCTTCCACAAATCTATGGAAATCATAAAATTACTAATAGATGAGTTACCATATTCAAGACATCTGTGGTGTCCCCAAGAGTTTTGCCCTCGTGTTCATCTGAATCATCCTCTGTTGAACTCTCCTCTTCAACATTCTCCTCTTTCTTATCTCCTTTAAAACAAAGCATAAGGTATACAGTAAAAAATGGTTTATTTTCTGTAAAAAGCAAGCCTAAAGAGTCATATAACGACTGAAACTGAAATGAAGCATGAAGACTCTTGTCAGTTCTAACTGCTGTGAGAAGTAATTTAGTTTCAGTAAGTACAATGTATACAAATGAGTGCAGAGTTCCATAAGGGGTACCTGTTTATTTGGCTTGCCCCATGTGATCAGCAGTGGACCGAGAAAATGGGGGTGCAACTTTGATCATGACAACTCCACGTCTTATCTGCTGTGCTCCTAACATATAACTTAACCCATAACCATTTGGGTAGCTCTGCCCAGGATTTAGGGAAGTACAGAAAAACTTACTGAACTTATCCTGTCTTTGTGTTAACTAGTATCACAGTTAATTCATCAAGCAGCAGTCCACTATTCAGCCATTACCTCATAGCTTTAAGGACCCTTAATGTTCTGTAAGCACAACCAATTCAGAGGGACAAAGCAGAAAATCAGTGAACAAAATGTAGCTCACCTGTTTCATCATCCAAAGCAGATTCAGTGTCTTTCTTTCCATCAGCTGCATCAGGATCTGGACTTTTGGCTCTGTGTATTTCAAGGGGAAGAGTGTTGCTGCTGACACATGGTACAGGTTTTGGGGAACTTTCTCCCAGTGGAGGAAGTGTTCGTACCAGTCGGTTGAACTTTTCTGGTGATTTTTCCTTGTGAAAGAGTTCAAAGAAAAGAGAGCAACTTTTAAGTCACTTCAACAGTTAGCCAACAAAAGACTGTGCACATTGGCTGGTAGGATGAGACAGCATCTGCTTTTCAAAATTAAATAGTTATGGCCCAGTAATCAACCAGGCTGTGTAAACATGTCAAACTAGGAACATACAGCAAGAAAGATGCAAAGAATCAGCATACAAGGGGAGCACCCAGAGTAAATACAGTAATAGGAAAATAAGTAATGATTTAACAGACTGTTAGCAACTGAGAGTATATTTTAAAAAGTTTTTAAGACAGCTAAAATAGCTCAGTGGCCTATGTTGTCATCTGCTGAGATAAAAGACTACTACTTCCCTAGAGCCAATGTAATATAATAAGCAGTGAGGCATGACAGAAAATAATCAGTCCCTGCCAATAAGAAAATGGTTTTGTTTATACAGGAGTTATCCCTGATACTAGATAAAGGGGATAAAGGTACTAGATATTTAGGTTTTGATATAAAGGATATGTCAAAGAAAGCGAACAAGATCCTCTACCTACTGGCACCCCACTGGACTATGTAGTTACATCCTAACTTGGCAACTATACCAGCCTTTAATTTCCATTAACTGCAGGGAGGTTTAATCTGCATTTGGTATGGGCCATCTAAACTCTATGCCTCTAAATTGCAGATTATTTAGTCTTTGTTTAGTTGGAACAGTTTTCCCAAATCTGGTGCCTTCCAGATGTTTTGAACCCCCGGAGGCATAGCTAAGTGTCAGAAACATGACGAATGACAGTCCAAAACAACTGGAGAGCACCAGGTTAGATATGGAGAAGTTAGAGAAAGCTAGAAAGGAGAAATATCAGTCAACCATAGGCAGCAGAAAGGAAAACTGACTATTTTATTTTAGGTACTTCTTTACCCCTTCAATAAAAATTCCCAGAGACTTACAAAGTCAAATCTTGAATCTCTTTACTCAAAACCTCTGTGCAGGTACAGCTGTCTGGAGATTTTAATTTTTTAAGTAAAGTAGGGATACTCCAAGGGTTTCACCTTAGCTCTTTCTCTACATAGGTCTATAGTGGGAGGAACAATCAGGCTGTACCTGTTCTGGTGCATACAGAACCTAAACTACACCTGACAGAGATGTGCAAATGTGTGTGATCACTATGTCACCATGGCAGGCAGAGAGGCAGTGGAGTTTATTCCCATCACTCCTGTTTACAAGGTTAGAATTCATTAAATGCCTACTTTTCAGTGAAGTATTTTTTATTAAATGGAAGCATTATAAAACAGGAAAATAACTATTTATTTTAAAATAAAAAAAGAATCCTGCTCTCCACTTTCCTTCAGCTAGTGTTCTGCTTAAATTCAAATCACACTTCAAGTCCAGAAAGGTACAAACATCCCCCTAAATTTCATCAGAAAATTTTCTGAGACTTTTTAAAAATTGCTAAGGCATATACTTGATTTTTCCAAACACTTACTTTCTCTCTCCGTCGCAAACGTGCTGATAACGTTTGATGAAAAGTATCGATCACTAATGCATCTCCAGCCATTTCAGAGGCTGCAGCAGACAAACTGTTTTCATTTTGGGGTAATTGTATTGTTCCTGATTCTTTAGGCCTTGGTGTGGCAAAAACTAGCATGTGACAACCACCACAGGCAACCTGTAACACAAACCCAATGGAAGTATCCATCTCTGTAGGTAAATAGTATGAGGTAAGGTGAGCACTAAGCAGAGAATGTTTATGAATAGGTTCTTCAGAACTTTCTGAATTACGGAAGTTTTATAAAGCATTCATACATACCATTTTTCAACACATGCAATAAGTAAATGATTTTCAAGGCAATTTTTGCATAGCATTCTGAGCAAAGTCAACATGGAAAATATATGATAAGAAGATAAATAAACCACCAAGCAGTGTAAAATTAAAATCTTAGTTTTAAATTTAAGGGTTTTTTTTAAACCAATGGTACAGCTACGTAATTGAAATCCAGTGTAGAGCAGTGGTTAGAGTGTTGGACCTGGGACTCCATGAGATGGATTGACTCCATAAACGAATTGGAATTTAGAAGAGTTGAACAGGGCTGTCCTAGACAGGGTATTCTGAAGAGCTTTTATTCATAGGGTTACCAGAAGTCAAAGACAACCTGTCAGCACATAGCAACAACAAATAAAAGGAAATAGCCAGACTAATTGTTACTTAAGCAAATTTGGTGGCAGCTTTTATTTGAACTGCATACATGGAGATTTTATCAATGATTACAATGAGTATATGATTACATCACAGAGTGTATGGATACTGGCCTACTGTTCCTACTGTTCAGGAAAACTTTGGTGGTTTGCTTTGTCAGAGTAATTGTTTCAGGGGTTCTTAACTCATTCAGCCTTGCTCTGTCCCTACAGCAACCATGGAAAATCAAATCAGGATTGGAATCCATGGTGTACTTGGGTGAAATGAAACAAGAAGTGAACAGGTGCTCCATCCTGCCCTCCACAACTCTATAGATTCTCTCTTGTTAAGTCTTACAGCAAAATCCTGTCCAAGTCTATTCAAAAGTAAGTCCCACTGAGTTCAGTGAGATTTACTTCAGTACATCAAGGATGCCGCCTCAGAGTTAAACAGTCATCAAGCAGGATAGGTCTTAAAGCCTGAGTAATAAGAACATTACTGTATGGAACAGAATATTATGCATCCTAGAAATTTGCTTAAAGACACATTGTTTTGAACTGTTCTCAGCTCAACACACTGCAGCATTTTCACACAGAACATCTCATACAAATCTATTTGATGATCCAAATAAAATAAAAGAAAGAAATGATAAACTAGTAACCAAAAGAATTTCAGATTTCTTTAGTGCTTATCTAAAGTTACAGTATAATAATGCTGTCCCTTGCATGGATAAACTTTAAACAATTGTGGTTTCTCTAAATGCGACTTAAGACATACTGAACAAGTATTTCAAAGCACATAAAAGAAGTCTTACCGAATGTACAGTGAATTTTAAAAAATTAGAACATAATGTAGGTACAAATTGATTTGTATAATTTTCTTCCCCAAGTCCTAATTTGCCATGCCGTCCATCTCCAAAGGTGTACATAAGACCATTCTCTAAGTGTGAAGAGAAATGTTTATTTACTAATGTGCAAAGCAGCAGAGTGTTAAAAGTAACAAATAAAGGAATCATCCAAATAACAACTAAGTTAGCAAAGAAATCAGTTCATTTCCAAGATCCGAAATTCTGAATTATATAATTTCAACATGCAAGACAATGTTTCACTAAATTGCAAAAGAAGCAAGTTAATCAGAATAATATAAAAAACATGAGAAAGGTCTTTATAACATTCTTAAAATATTTATAAATTAGAAACACTCCATGTAAGCTATCCCTACTGGGGACAGCAGAAACTTGGATTCACATCTTCAATACTCCAAGTTTACCCTAAAGTTCTAATTTCCATTTAAGAAGCCAGAGCTAACCCTTCAGTACTAAATACCCCGTGGCACCTAGGTTTATTAAACTAGGACAACCGTTAGAGAAAAATATATTTCTAGTAAACCAAATCCAGTCTGGTAACTAACGTAAGTGGCATTCTGAACTCTATTGAAAGATACTTCTATTAACTAAGACTGATTAAGATTCTTGTTTAGTTCACATTTTTAGAATAGTTTCTCCTCAAATCAGAAGGACTCAATGGCCTAGTTCATGCAAGTACTTTGTGAACTAATTTCAAACTGAGGCTTCTGTGTCTGTTATGGAAGGAAACCATGATTTGATTGAACCAGGAACTGAAGGAAGGAATCAGATCTGGAGAAACACTATCCATGGTTTTGTCATTGCACAGAGACTAAACCACTAGACAGATTCTGTTTGCTTTTCTAAATGGTGTATATTTAAGGATTGTACTGAAATCTGTTCAAAACTATCATACGCCAAAAAGTTCACATGGACTATCACCTCAAATACTATTTAGTCTTTGGTACTGACTAAGATTCATATTACCCTCACCCGAGCAAAAAGACACATTTTCCCACTTCCTGGAGCAAGCACAAAAGCAAAGCCATTCAGTCAAATAGTAGAAACTTTCCTCAATTTTCTCCACAGAGTTCCAGATTAGGTAATCTGCCCTCACTTCAGATCACCTCCTTCAGGATGGGAATCCAGAGCCCTTCTTGGAGAAAATTTAATGGATCTTGTCAAGTTTAACTAATTTAAGTCCTTTTTTCATTTCAATGGGAGTATTCTAAATTACAATGAATATAACCCAGAGTTTCATATTAGAAGATCTGCACAACTCTCCTGCCCCCAGCAGATTTAGAATCTATACCTTATACCTGAAAGTACATTAATACTACTGCAGCTGTATGCCATAGCTAACACGTACATACCTGTTATTACAGCTGTATGATTTTCCCCACTTGCAATATTACAAATTTTATACTTCCCCAAATGATCCACAACCTTTGGTTCAAAGGTTTCAAAAGTAAATGTGCCATGTCCAAGCTGCCCATATTGGCCAAGACCAAAAGTATAGACTTTCCCTTCTGAAAAAAAGGGACATGAAGTTAACTTTCTGTATTCAGCCAGCAATAGTCCAATGATTCATTCAGGGATAAGGGAAGACTTCACATGAAAATTTGGCCTGAAGAACTGTGCATTAGAAACAAAATGAAACATAAAATGACAAATGAGATTATTGCTGCCATTGAAAAACAGACATAAACACATTTGCATGAGATAGGAAACAATCAGCTATATAGCTTATTCATGAAATTTCAGAGGACAAAAATAAACAGACTGATTGCCCTCCTCACATGTGAGTTAATAGAAGTCCCATCACTGCTCCACATATGTGAGGAGGGCAATTCTAAAGTCTCCATTTGGAAATGTCCCTGTCATAGTATTGAGTAGCTTTCCCCAGTTTGGTCCCCTCCAGATGCCTTGGACTTCAACTTCCATCAGCCCTGCTCACATGGCCAATGATCAAGAATGCTAGGAGTTGTAGTCTAATGCATCTGAAATTGAAGGCTGTTCCTGAAGATGATCATATTTCAATGCATCCATTATTTATTGCAAAAAGAGAACATTAGATCGCTTAAGGATGCAGAATTCTGAGCATGGTGTAAGTAAAAAACATTTAACTGCTACTTTCATTCTAATTATTTAACTTGCTGGGTTCAAAGAATCAGAGGAACAATTTACGCTGGCAAGTGCTGACCCCTGTTGTGCATCATTGTGAAGCACTGTTGTTTGAATTTTACAGCAAGACTTTTTAAAGTTCTCCAACAATTTTACTAACTAGCACTTTAAAGTGCTGGCTTAACCATGTACATTAATATAGCCTTTAAAAGTTGCTTTTTAAAGAAATGATGTATTTTAACCCAGGATATAATAGTCATTTCATTTAAATTTAATATTAAAGCTCCCTCTGCTGGAAAGTGCAGGAGCAAAGTAAAACCTGCATATTGGGAAGTCTTGGTGAGAAGGCGAGGTGTTACACTAAACGCCTTTACCTGCACTCACTTTTGCAAAGTGTCATGGAACTCCCAGATTGGTTCAGGCAAGACTGGAGCCTCCTCCCCCTCCCTAGTTTGAGCTAGAGGCCCTTCCAAAATAAAAGCACTTGCTACACAAAAAATATCAATGGGAAGCTTTATTATTTTGCATACAGGAAGTGGATACCTTTATGTGTTTATTAGATTTCTACCTCACCTTTTTCTTTTTTAAAGAATTCAAAGCAACTTACATCATTCACCTCCCGCTGCTCTCAATCTACCCCCACAACAACAACCCTCTGAGGGAGGTTGGGGAGAGGGTCTGTGACTGGCCCAGAGTCACCCAGTTGGCTCACTGGCTGAACAGAGAACGAAACATGGATTGCCTGAATCCCAGTCCTGCCTCTTAAGAAGTAATAATAAAGAACAGTGTGAAATAAAATGTTCATTATACTCCTTGGCATGCCAACTTACCCTGATTGGCTAATAGTTTAACTACTGATGCAATTTATTTCGCTTACTAGGGTAAGGAAAGGATATTTACTTTCTTGCAGTGGAAGGCAAGGAACATATACATTGTTGCTTTGGAACACAAGGAATATTTACATTTGCTGATACCTACTTACTGGTTATCAACAAGTATACTTTATAACTCCTTCTTATCTATAGGTCACAGTAACCAGTACATTCTTTAGCATTTCCTCTGTTAATGCTTACATTCTCTTGTTAACCCTTTCTTTAACCTCCTAGATGGTCTTTTACTTGACACAGAGCATATTCTTACTGTCTCAGCCCTAGCAAAGTAGTAGTAATGAAAACTGACCTCCATATTGTATTTTTATATCCACAAATACAGTCTTCAATGGTGAAAAGGAGTTTTATTTATTTCAGAAATTGGACAGAAAAAAGGTCTAATTCAGAAAAAAGGTCTAATTCTGTTCAAAATTCATTTGTTTCAGCTCAGCAAGAATCTGAAAATCATCTGTAAGTCTATGGGATAAGCAAAACAGGCATAACATGCCTTACTATGGCATAGTAAGAATTCTGATTCGTCTTATGATTTTACTCCCTCCACCCAAGCCACCAATTTGTTTCAAATTTCAATTTCCTTCCACAATCCTCTATAGGAATCAGAGAATGGAAGAAATTTGTTGTGGGATTAGCAGCTATAAGTAATCAACTATTTCAGCAAGACCTCTTTCCCCATCTCCCTATGATCGACCCTTATTTTGGAATAAGGAAAGTAGTACGTGTTTACAGATTCAACTTTTCTGCAGCTGTACTACATTTTTGTTGTGCTAATATTAAATGCTCATTTGTCTTACATTCTCCCTCACTGGAAAGTTTCCGTATTTCCATATTTAGCCATTAACACAATTCTGATGTTCACATCAAGTAGGAAGTGAATATATAACAGGATATTATCAAGACTCAAGATCATGGCAGATCCCGATCTTAGGATTTTCTGAATGCCTAGGGATTCAGTCAATGCATCTCCCCTTTCTGGCAAGAGGAAGGAACTGAAGAATCTTCAGATAAAGACGTATGACAAAATTGTAATGTCCAGGTCAGTCCCCTTTCTTTGACAGAACAAAGTCTATTTCTACTCTCACACACTTTGTTCATAACAGTGCTGAAAGAGACATACACCCAGTTAACTGTGCACTGGCTTTTGCTGCAAATTGTAATAACCATCTCTCTGAAATTATATATGAAAGAAATGTTTGCCAAAAGCTATTCATTTCCCACTCCTTTATCCTTCTGAGTAAATCCAGAGAAGAGGCCTCTAACTACAGTCTTTATTCTGTTAAAGTGGGCCACCCAGGCTGGCATTATAAACAAAAGGAATATTGAAGAAGCCCCTATTTATTTATTTGTTTGTTTGTTTGTTTGTTTGTTTAAAATTTTTCTATGCCATCCATTACTAAAAGTACTTACAAGGAACAGAAAACCAAGAACAAAACCATAACACAACACACAGCACACTGCATCTAAAATAGTAGTAAATCAACCATCAAGTGAGGAAGGCAGCTAATTAGAAAAGATACCACTCATACCAAGAAGTTGATTCCAAATGAATCCTTCTCCTCACCGAATGGTGTTTCTTCCACCTTGTGTGCCCAAAGGTGGGGATGCAAGACACTACTCAATCAGTCTGCCCTCTTGAACTGGCACTAGATGATGGGGCTGATTATGTTACATCGCTCCTTCTCTGGCCCTGCCTGTTCAATAGCATCCTCTCCAAAATCAGAGATGATCTGGTTCTCACCGACCACTGGGTTTATTTGGGGTCATTTCAGGCATTTCAGTCATGAATTTCAACACTGCCTCTTCTCCCAGAATGAAATATTTTGGGAAAAGTGAGTCTAGCCCCTACAATGATTTGAATGAGTTCTACATCAAATACATCAAATATCAACATAGGTTCCCATTTAGACTGAAGCTCAGACCAGTCTGGTTGGTAGATTTTCACATGATCTGCTACATGAATGAGTGGTATAAACTCAGCACATGCAATCATCCACCACACATGTTTACAGTGTTCTACCTGTTCCTCATCCCCATTGCTAAAACTTATAACCCACTTAATATGAGAAAGCTATAATTGATTCTGGCAAATTGTGTCTGTTCCTTAACTAATCTTACCCCTTCTACTATAGGAAGAGCTGTACTGGATCAGACCAAAATCAAATCTACTCCAGCACCCCATTTCCCACAATGGTCAGTCAGATATCTACAAGAAGCCCATTACAGGACATGAGGGTAATAGCTAAGTGAGCTATTTATCATCTCTTCTAAAGCTCCCCCATCCTTTTTAACACAATGCATTTAACACAAAGAGGTACGTGGGTATACACTATGTTAGCATGGTGGGGATAAACACATGAGCCCACAAGTGGAAGAGAAGGAACTTCTGAATAAAAGATCAAAATAGAAGCTCCACTTGAATACCTGCAAGTGCTACTGTATGCCCTCCTCCACAGGCAACCTTATTAACTCTGCCAGAAATGCCAGAAACAAGTTGTGGAATCTTGTTGTTCTGCAGCTTCTCAGGGGACAAACCAAGCTTTCCATTCTCGGGCTCCCCAAAGGTATAAAGCTCCCCTTCACCTGCAGAAAACAAAGCAGTAAGTTGGGCACCAATACCAGAAGCAGCAAGGTTTCTTTGAAATATATCACATTTCCTTCATGACAAGCATATTGTGGCACTGTATGTAAAAGGTTTTTTCAAATTAACGATGTCATCCTAACCCCAGATCCATTGTTTGGAAGCAAGGGTGGTGCATGCATGCCCCTTCACTGGCAAGAAACAGCTCTGCCACAGAGACCCTCACTGTACCAGAGAGCTCTACAGATGTGATTCTCTCATGGGCATTAGCTGGAAATCTCCAAACTGGGTGGACTTGGGGCAAAGCAGGGGTACCCATGGAACTGCTGAATCTAACACCACTTCATTTACTGGGGTTGAAATTGTCACTCCCATTTATGACAGCCTAGAAATGGTGCTATTAATTTATCTCCCTTGGAAGAGGAGCAAAGGTTCATAAGACAAGGAGGGGAAAAAACCTTCCTGCTACGTTGTGTCCTAGCTGGTAAGTGGTGGACAATACAGCATTTCATTCCCCCTCCTCTTCAGTCCCTCTTATAATTGCTGTGCAAGTCATGGACTGAAGATCAAATTTAATAAAGGAAAACACGAAGCTGCCTTACACTTAGTCAGACCATGGATCCATCCAGCTCAGTATTCTGAGCCCAATTTAAAGTGTTGCTTTTGACCACTAAAGTCTTAAACAGTTTGGGACCAAATTACTTGAAGGATGGCCTTCACCCATATGAACTGGCCCACATTTTAAGATCAGCAAGACATGCCCTTCTCATTTGTCCAATTGTGAGGATAATTAGGTAGCTGGAAACACAAGAGAGGGCCTTTTCTGTAGTGGCTTAATACCTCAGAACTAAGTTGTCACTGGGAGTCTGCCAGGTCCCTAATTGTGGGCTTTTAGGAAGGCCTAGAAAGATCGTACTTTACTCTGGCTTTCCCTTGATTAGGTTTTATCAGAATGGGTTGCAGCTGCAGTTTTATGTGGTCTGTGTTGATTTTGTGGTGGTGTTTTAAGCAGCTGATTTTAGGATGTTGCTGCTGTTGTTCTTTCTACTGTTTTTAATTACCATACTGCTTTTAGTTAGTTTCATCATTTTATAACACCATAGGAGGGTTCCTGTCCTGAACAGCAGCTAAGGAATATTTGAAATAATAAATAAAATGTTATGGACAGTGACTGGCAGAAGCTGTTAGATTTCATGGAGGAGCTTTTCCAGCCCTACCTGGAGATGCTGGGAACTGAACATGCCAATCGGAAGTCTCAGCTAGTAATGATGTTTCAGCACTGGGGCCCTTCATTTGACTGATGGTCTGTCTACATCTATTTATATCTCTAGACTTCCGCACTTACGTGTTATTAAGGCAGAGTGGTAATATCCACAAGAGATCCAGGAAATAGGTTTTCCAACATCCACTTGATGAGGCACAAATGCATTAGCTTCATTGGCCAAGCCAATCTGTCCTTCAGAATTGTCTCCCCACATAAAAAGCTGTCCACCCTCTGAAAACAAAGAGTTTATAAATGGAACCAAGGTCAAATTATTGCAAGTTTTTTAAAAAACACAGCAAATATGATTCAGTGGCTATATAGTATAACTATAGCCTTCAACTGCATGGTCAGACTTTTTAAACTTGAGGAGATTAGAGGAATTATAAAATCCTCCTTTTAACACAGCATCCACCTCCATCCTGGTGCCCTCCAGATGTATTGGACTGCAAATAATCAATGTCCATGCTGGATGGAAAAGATGGGAATTACACTCCAAGCACATCTGGAGGGGCACCAGGATGGGAATGACTGCAATACAGGTTGGAAGTGGGGTAGGGTGAAGAGGCCTAAAGTTCAGAGAAAAATAGCCAAAGCTCTATTTCATGCATGATACTTCTCTCTGTGCTTTTCAACCAGTGAGCTTGATTTAGAAGCAGACTAATAACTGTGTTGTCCCTGTATTTAAAATATTTTCTTCCTCCTTAAGCCAGACAGCAAAAGAAACTAGACTACAACAAAGAGAGATTTACAAGCATTTCTCACTGAAAACTAGGACTATCAAATTGCTAATGCCCTGTAAGGACAAGGTTAGGGTAAATATAAATATAAAGTTGCTATAAGCCTTAGTAAATTGAAATTGTGAAAGATTGTGTATACCTTGGTCCAGTTATCAATTCAAACAGATACTGTAGCCAAGAAATTAGAAGGCTGAGATTTAGAGGGACAGCAATGAGGAACCAGAAAGGATGTTTCACTTGAGAGAAAGGCCAAGAACATCCACACTATTCTTTCCCAATCATTATGAATAGGTGTAAAAGCTAAATAGTGAAGAAAGGAATGGATATATTTGAAATATGGTGCTGGAGGAGAGCTTTGAAAAGACCCAGGAGAGACAGAAAGATGAACAAGTGGATCTTAGATCAAATCAAGCCAGAACTTTTCCCAGAAGCAAAAGGGACAACACTGATTAAGGATGTTGCTGAAACCTTGTATCACATGGTTGAGAGTTAGCATTTTTACACCATTCTTAAAACATATTGTCATAAATATGTGGCCTTGGAAATGAAAGGCAATTTGATTTCAGACTGCCGCAAGTGCCAAATATGAACTATCAAAGCCAAAATAAATCCCATTTGCCATAACATGTGTTAGCGCCCAGACTCACCAGTTAATGCTGCCGATGTGTAGGATCCAGCTGCCAGCTGTATGATCTTGTGCTGGTTGGTAAAAAAACTAACTAGATGAAACTTGCTTCTTTCCTCTGTGTCACCTAATCCCAACTGCCCTTCACTGTTACCTCCAGCAGCATACACATTCCCTTGTTCTGCACACAGAAGAGCACATACAGAGTAAAGCATTTGAAGCAACAGCAAAAATAAAACAAGCCCTCTCGCTCAAACTCAAGCTAACTCATGTTTATTATGTACAAAGCATCAATCTCTGTTGTCCTCAGTATTCCAAAACCTGTCCGTAAAAATGACTAACTCCTCAGGAATCTTTGCTGTACAATGGAATACTACTTTGCAAAGGTGTGAGACTAGAACATGGATAAAAATAGTAAAAGCAATTTTTGATCAAAGATGAAAGTAAATATTTCAAAATTAGAGTAATTTGTGTTATTACTCCTTCACTTTTACATCAAAAAAAGAGGATTTTGGGCGTACTTACTGAAAGGTGCTTATAGAGTAAATAGCTTCAAACATTAGCCTGCCTGTGTACATTTGCATGTGCATATGTACACACATATTCTAGTATCAAGAAATTAAGTTAGAAACCTGCTTTGTGCAGGTACACTGACTTCCTGCCCCCGACTCCATGGAACTTTGTTTTGTAATAGCAAAGTCACTTCAGTAGTTTGCTAGACGTAAACGAAGAAGGAAAATAACTCATAATATTATTAACAAAAATGGTGGATTAGTAATTTCTGATCATTTATTACACCCTGGATAGACAGATATCCTCCCTTATTTGCAGTACTGTGTGTGCACAGGTTACGTCTGTCATCCACGGAGCACTCCCACTCTAGCACCAGGAAACCTGGATGCTTTTGCACCTCATTATACAAGGTTTCTACTAGAGAAGTTCCTATTCATCTATGCAAGACAAAAATAAGATTGTCCTCCAGTGTTGAGGATTTGATAAAGAAGGGAGTGGCTGGTCTTAGTTTACCAGATCCCCACTTTACTCAATGAAGACATAATGCTGATTTCCTAAGAAAGTGAGGTTTGCAAGAGATGGTCTTGCGAATACAGACTCCATTTCCCGTTCTCAGGGGAAAAGATGAAAACCTCAAGAATATAAATCCTATCCTTTGCACTTATGTGCACTGATCATTCAGGATCATGACCACAGGTTGGAGTCCTATCAAGTTATATAGGATTTGCAGAAGATACATGCAGACACATACTAGACAAGATACTATAGTACTATTTTTTTCCCCTGAATATTTACTTTCTTTCAAGGTACCTGAGCTGTATTACAATCCTCCTCCTCTCCATTTTATTTATATGTCATTGAAGTAAAAGGGTTGGGTAGCAATTAGAGTCAATTAGCATGTGTGGTCAGGTCAGGTTTAATTAACTATAATATTGTTCAAACAAGCAAAGCACAAATGTTAATGACGACCATAAAATTAATTAGCTACAACATGTTTAACCTGACACCCTAAACCCACTTTAAAATCCATTTATAATCTAATGACAATGGCTTATAATTTTCAAGGGAATGCAGACATAAGAATACTAAGGCAGGTAACTCATTTAAACATCTTCAAATTCATTCATTTCATGACTTTATTGAAAAGATTCAAGCTTTCTCTGATAAGGCAACACATTCAACACATATTAAGAGCATTGCAAGAATGTATCTATAAAGACCTCTTGCATGTTCCCATTTTCATTTTTGCTTCCTGAACGTATAAAGCTACCAATGTCTCCACCAATTTATATAGATTAACTACACTGAACAGGTTGGCTACTGCTATCAAGATCTTGGTCATTATGCATTTTTTAGATATTCTGCTCTAAAGAGGATATTTGAAAATATATCCAGTGAACAGAAGGGGATGGACATAGCTCAGTGATAGATACTGAATGCAATCCCAGGCCTCCTAGGTTAGGGCACAATACTATGTATTTTTAGGCAGGAAAAACTAAACTCTGACAACTCCCAGCATGCCCCAGTTGGGCATGCTGGCTGAGAATACTTGGGAGTTGTAGGACTTCCTTGCTGTCTAAACATGCATAAGATTGCACCCTTAAAGGACCTCAGGGAGTACAGCAGGGAAAACCCTTCTGAGAGCAAAAAGTGACTAAGGGCAAGGATAAAAACAATTAAAAATTCTTACAATAATACAAAACAGGTGCACTACTTTGCATGCTTAAACAGAAAAAGGTCCTACAACCTCCAGAATCCCCCAGTCAGCATGGGAACATAAGGATTGAATTCCAGAGTCACCAAAAAGGCCATCTCCCTAATCCCTACAATGATGATGATTAAAATTAAATACATCTCAGATTTTGGGCAGCAGCTGCCAATCAGAGCAGACAATTTCTGAGCAGAGAGACAAATAGCCTGGTGACCCGAGGCGGATTCTGACCAGATCTGCATCTGGGTGTGACTCCGTACACTGAAGAAGACCGAGAAAGGGACCCAAGAAATCCAGGACTGGATTCTGGCCCGGATCTGGATCTGGCTAGCATCTCTGCTCAAAAGAGGACCTTGCTAAGGACTGTGGCACCCCAAAATTGAGAAAGACAGGACACCCTGAGGGGATTCTGACCGGATCTGCATCTGGGTGTGCCTCCCTACACTTAAGAAGATGGAGAAAGGGGCCCAAAAAACCCGGGAGGGCAGAAATGTAGGAAAACCCGGGCCTGGATTCTGGCCTGCATATGGATCCAGCTAGCACCTGTGCTCTGAAGAGGACGTTGCCAAGGACCCTGCAACCCAGCAGCATAATATGTTTATAGTGTTAATTTTGTTTTGTTTTGTTTTATATCCTGCCTATTCCTTAGGATACCTAGAAAAATCTGTCATACGGGGGAAATGGTGCAACAGATGTTACATAAATTACATACCTGTATAAATCACAGTATGATTTCTCCCACAGGCAGCTAGTTTTACTTTTTCTGGTTTTAAAGCTATAGATGAAAGACACAGTGGTTACCATTTTAGAAGATATTGCTGTTGTATGTATTCAGTGCTAGCTTTACAATGATCATGGACTGATTAGATGACTTGCAGAGAGAATATGCTGGCTTTTCAAATTATACCTCGATCATAAAAATTGAACATATTCAAACAATACCATACACACCTACTTGAGAAAAGGTCCCATTGAACCAAATAAGATTTTGCTCTAAGGTCTAAATCCAACATACTTTTACTTGAAGAAAGCTAACTAGGGGAGCTTTGCTGCCTTTCCCATTGCACAAACCCAGCAAACAATTTTGTAAAGCAAAGACCTGCAAGTGATTGCTCAAGTGGAACTTTAGTTAGATTCTTTTTGTGTGCATACCTTGGAACACTTTCTTTGTACTAGAGGAATGACACTGTTGGATACCCTCTTTTGGATACACACTGTTGAATATACCCTTCTTTTACTGTCTTCAAAACAAAGCTAACACATTTCACGTAAGTCTTCACTGTAAAAATAACAACACCCTATCCTAAACTTACTCTTTTTCACAGCTCATCCTCTGAGTTTAAATTGTAGAAAATAGCAAGTGCCCCTATATAAAGGATAGACATAGAAGTTATCTTCAAATACATCTTTTTCTACAGTTCTTGGAAAATAAATCTTGGTTTGGCAAATACCTGAAAGGTCAATATAAGGAGAAATCTAAATATAAATGAGAAATCTAAATCTTCATTTTCTTTAGAAACCTAGATTGAGATTGGAAAGATTTAGAACAATTATTATAAAGGCAAATATATAAGACAAACCTTTTACACAAGTTGGCTTGTTTACAGTGTTCTTTGTTCCAAATCCTAGTTGTCCCCAGTTGTTGCTTCCAAACATGTAAAGTTTTCCATTTTCTACAAAATGCAGATAGAAAAGAAAACAAGCAATCACTACTGTATTCATTTTAAGATAGTCTGGAACACTGCAATTACTTTAACTGGTTATTTGTCATGCCACCAAATATACGTTGCAGTGAACAGCCAATTACAAACAAAATCAAAATGCTACTGAAGCACAGAAGAATTATAGATAAAATGGCTACTCTGAGAAGTACTGATGGGAGAAAGTATGGAATATTTTTTTTCCAAAGGGATGCATATAAAGCTTATGCATCTCAGCACAGGGTGATATCTGAAGCTTTCACCTCATATAAACAGGAAGCACAAGTCACCATGCCTCATCTATTGCAGCATCCATATAATATCAACATTCTCAGGACTGAGCCTTGTCATGAGACCTCCAGCCTTTACCAGGTCAATTTCACAACGACTATTTACTAACTTCTGCAAATGAATCCATACACCTTCCTGCAAAGCTACTACAGCTACATCCTGCTTTAGAAAATTGGATATTGGAAGATCATGGTCCTTAAATGATTAATACTAACCTGTTACAACAGAGGTATGTTCATCTCCACATGATACTTGCAAAGGCTTGTCATTTTTAAACCAAAACTTGCTAGGCACATTTTCTGCAAATTTGCTTCTCCCAAATGTGAATACAGCACCTGTTTCTAAAAAGAAATAGCTTAAATATTAGCTTGTGTTCCATTGGTAGCATCCTTTTGCAACAAACATCTCCAGAATTCTTGGAACATTTTCCCCTGCAATGGCCTAACTTCTGCTAAGATATACAAGCAAATATTCTTAAGCTATGTATCTGATAGCATCATCAATAGACAATACATCAGTAAAGGTGGACTTCCCTATCTCAGATTCAAAACACAAGCAGCAAAACAAATAGAGTTGGAATGCATGTTACGCATGTCTAGACAGAGGAAAAAAAGATTACACTTGCCTAGCTGAGTAATGTTGGGTGTTGTAGGGCTTGTTTTAGTCAAAAGATGCAGCCTTAAAAGCTCACCCCAACAGCATGCGGCAATAAAAGGAAAACAGTAGTATCACACTGGGTTCTCAGGCTATATATTTGCTCTAACAATTGATTATCTTTTCCTAGAAATTGGCCACAACATGCTATTTCTGTTAAGACATATAAACCTATCCTCACAACAAATCCTTCCCATTTGAAAGCAAGATCTGAGTGCATTGCATTTACAATTGCAACTTTTAAAACATTCTGTTTTTATTTAACACTTTACTTAGCCACCTTCACAATTACATTATATCCCACATTAGCTCCCTAAAATGTCCAATGAGAATCAAGACACGTCTTCAAAAAAAAAAAAAAAAAGGACTGCAGGATCTGTGCAGTCTCCTTCCACACATTTATCTTTACAGCTTTTTCTAAAATCAATTTCCACGTATGTATTACACAGTTATCATGCTCTGCTCATTTCATCCCAAGGTGTGTAAGATAACATCTTGTTTTTCAAGCAAATCAAGTGATCAAAACATGCACAATCCACCTCATGTTGGAACTGTACACCTTGTAAGCCCTACTGCCCCTCTTCAGGTTCCTTGTCTTAAAACAAGCCATTTCTTCCAACTGTATGGATAAATAAAGATGCTTTCATAAGCTTATCTATGCATGCAACAATCACTGCCTATTTATTTACAATGGCACTCCTAGAAGCATAACAAGGGCAATTCTGAACTCATTTTTTCCAAAGAGGTCCGCAAATGGCCACCATGGTACAAAATGACATATATGCCTCTCAGTCTGTATGTGACTGTGACTGTGACTGTGTGTGTGTGTGTGTGTGTGTGTGACAGAGAGCGAGCGAGCGAGCGAGCCCGCCCAAAGAGGTTACTGGTGTAATATAGCCCTCCCCAGCCTGGTGCCCTACAGATGCAGTGGACTGCAACTCCCATAATCCCATGGTTGAGTTGCAGTCCAACACACCTGGAGGACACCGGGTTGGTGGAGGCTTAACACACGCCACTGTCCTTTGTGTTGTCGGGCTCAAAAGCCCGAAATCCTCAAGCGCCCGTTCATTGGCGGCAAGTCCCACGGAAAACAAGGGGATTTACTTCCGAGGAGCACGATTCGGTCGACACTCCGCTAAGCGTGAAGAGGGCGCGCCAGTTCTTCCCGACCTACATTGATCGATGCAAGGTGTGGGGAAGGAGACGAGAACAAACGGGGGTGGGAACCGCGCCACGCGGAGACCGCGGAAGACAACAGGGGCACGAGCGGGGCGCCGGCACCAACCAAGCGACCTCCCGAGACGGGGGGCGACGGGACTCACCGGGCACCTGCTCCTCGGCCTCCCCCATGACAGGCCGGAGGGAGGAGGGGGAGGTGCCTGGCACGCAGATGGAGCCCCGAGCTGCCTCGAGCCCGGAAGTAAACAAACCGCCTGCCACTAGCAACGGAGGCTAGCTCCACCATAGAGAGCGCTGTACAAGCGGGGTAGAGCGCACGCGCTGGGCACCATAGAGACTACCGACAGGCCTCGGCCCGCAACGGCCCGTCTCAGGGTTAGGTCAGGACAAAGCCTTAAGACGCTCTTAGTCGGCGCGGGGCAGCTGTGTCGTGCGTTGCACCGAGAACGGCCTGAGATGTGTTGTTCTTTTAATCTCTTTTCCTCCCAATAGCCGAAGCTCCCCGGCCAGTTTACAACAGTTCATAAAACAGGCAATAGAACAAAACACCCGTATTTTCCAAAAGGAAAAATTAAAAAGAAAGCTAAAGCACCTTAGGATGCAGCGTAGGCCTGTGAAACGCCTGCGATTGATAGCCCGTGAATATGTTTAAATGCCTTCGCACAGAGGGCCGTCTTAACCTGACACTGAAAGGTCCAACACGTTTATTCCACCATAAACTTTCCTGGACACTGAAAGCTCCTCTGCACACTCAGAGGCACATACATTTTTTAAAATATTTATTTATTTATAAAATTTGTACGCCATCCAACTACTAATGTCTCTGGACAGCTAACAGCATAAATAAATTGATGACCCACTCTGGCTGCAATTAATAAAATACAATAATTCGATATTACAACTTATTAAAATATTGATTAAATTAAAAGGTCTGAGATCTTGTGTTAAAAGAACTGAAATGCAAAAAGCACAGACCTTGCGTTAAGTTGCCAGAAATCACTGAATCATATTCTAACAGAGCTTATGCACAAAGTTGTAAATTCCCTCATTAGCTTATGTAGTCAGAATGGAGATGTGAAGTGCAAACTCAAAGCAGGAAGGTGACTTGCACTTGCAGAAAGCATCATGCCCATGGCACACTTGGGTTGCCGGATTTAATGGGGGGAGGGAGTGGAAGGGCTTTAACTCGAACTTCCCCAATTTGGGCCCTTCCTTGTGTGTTGGTATATAGCTCTTATCATGCCTTGGCCAAATTGGCCAATTGCTGATGGAGTTGGGGAAGGCAGCAGCACACACCTTTTTGTCAGCTGACAACATTCCTTTGATCCTCTCCATAACAGCCACAAATGAATTTTGCTGCTTGAAATGGAGGCCCAACCACCCCCCACAAAAAAATTGCATTACAATATATTACAAGAGATTACAATATATACAGTCTTCTCTCTCTCTCTCTCTCTCTCTCTCTCTCTCTCTCTCTCTCTCACTCAGTTCAGAATATTGCAAACAATAACCAATGAGATGCGATCGCAAATGTAATAATCACAAATTCAATCACAAATTTAATACCAGATTAATGATATTTGCTATATTTTTATCCTGAGGCCAACCTCTTGTTCTGCTGCAAATACCAGAGCACCTTAGAGATAAATAAATTTATTCTGATATGAATTCTACAGACCAGTGACAACGTCTTTGATAAAGTGGACTCTAATCCATGAAAACATATGCAATAATAAATATGTCAATCTTTATTAAGCTGCTATGAGATTGTTTTTATTTTCTGTTCTTGCTTATCCCTCAAGGAGTTAAAGGCAATATACTTGTACATCCTTTACTGTGTCAATTCCTTTGATAAAGAAATAGCAGTTTCCAAAAGGTTATTTTTAATTTTTAATATACAAAATATTTTCACGTGCTAAATATCAGGTATAAACTTCTCTGTTGCCTGATTTCTTTCAACATACCAACAGATTAATTATTCTTCCCTCCACTCATTCTGAAAAACTAGAACTTCAGTCTAATAGCCAGGGAGACTGCAGACTCATCTAGTGTAATTGGTAGAAACGACAGAAAAATCTTATTTGAAAACACTGCCAGAGATCCTCTAGGCTTGCCTGTTCTGCCCTATTTTTTGGCGTTATTTTCTTCGTGCTTCCACCATGAAGGATTCTACCTAGCACAGGAGAAGCTCTCTAACTGGACAGGGTAACTCTGCAAATTGAGAAGGGTAAATCCCCGGTGCGACCCTATTCCACAGGCCTTAGAGCGCCTCCTACCGGTTAAATTGTGCACACCAGGGAATGGAACACACTGTCTCCGCTTCCGTAAGGTGCGTGCCCCTTACGAAGCTCTTGGGCATTCGTGGTTCGCTTAGAGCCATTTCCCAGGGCTCAAGCCTTGCTCTGTTAATTTTTGAATAGCGGGGATCCTTTATGTGCAGTAATAAGGAAGAGAATGACGCTTCTCTGTTTGTAGAAATTGCTTTCTTCTCTCTACTGTGCTACTAAACCCAATGGGGTTTCTTTTGTTGCTATTTAGCAGAGATCTTGTGCAACGAATTGGGTAAGAAGCTGAGCTGGGAATCAGGAATTCCCTGGTTTTAATCTCAGCAACGTCCTCATTAGATGACCTTAGCCTAGACACACTGTTCTGCTCATTCACACACACACACCCTATTTGCAACTCAGTTAAGTCAGTTAATAATAGTAACTTAATTTATAAGGTTGTTGCAAGAATTTTAGCTAGATACAGTATGTGCAATGCTTTGAACACTTAAAAGTGCTATATGAATGTTTATTATTATTGTTTTCAAATTGCCAGTTTCACGGTAGCAGATAGCTTTATAACAAACATTAAAGCATTTCCACAGATGATTTTAAGCTTCTATTAGTGCCTAAATCAGGATGTTTACATACTATAGATTTTTACTTCCAAACACACAGCTCCTAGCATAACAAATCAGAAGACAATGTGCAGTTTTTTCCATCTCTGACTCCAAGATTTTAGTTTTGCTTTGTTTTTTGGTGGTTAAAAAAAAAGATGGGAAAACTATAGGGAAAATGTGGGACATTTACAATGGAAAATGGTGAGCAGCTTCCAGGCAAGACTTTTATGGCATTATTGTTATAGCACATTCACAGAGATTTTATGGGTTTCTCCCCAACACATACAGGCACACACACATCATTTCTTCCATCTTTACTCTTCTTGCAAAACATCTATCAAGAAAGAAAAAGATTTAATAGCGGTGCATGCCTTCTCATCCGCAGCACTTCCATATGGAAGCATCTGTTGCTTAGATGCACATACATGCAATAGAATGTCCCCCATGAACAAGGCCATGTCCAAGTAAGGAACCTTTTCTTAGCTGGAAGATGATCTTTTTTACTTACCATTTTTTGGGGGGCAAACTGAGTCGGAAAGTAAAGTGAGCTTTTGCAAAATTAGCTTAATCCAGAGTCTATTACAGGAATGTAAAGTGACAGTTCCTAGGATGTAGATTTTTTTCTCCCCCAGAGTCAGTCTTACAATCACAGTATTCCTGTGTAGCACGAACAGAATGCAAGAGGCACGTGCCTGCTTTTCAGTGTCAGATATGAACAGGGCTTACAGAGGCTTCCTCAGTTTCTCGGGGTCTGAGGAACGGACATACAACTTTCTCACTCCAGAGAGAGCCATGTAGCAGCTGCCACTGTATCATGCGGTGGAGTCATGGAGTCAGGGCAAGGTCAGATTACCATTTTACACAAGGGCACCATTGTGTTAGCACTGGGGCTTTGCTGCCTGATCTAATGAGCTGCTAAACCTATGCAGCTGCTCCACAGGATGAGACCATTTATTATAATAATCTCTGCTGTTATTGAGTTTGATTACCTGATTGCTTTTAACTGTGCTCTTTTAACATGCTATATTTTATATATTTTAATTCATGGCTAAGTTGTGCATTAGTCACCCTGAGAGCATTTAGCTGGAGGGCAATATATAAATATTTAAATTAGATAAAAATGTGGCATGTTCACAATGATTTCTACGGCTCAATGATTTACAGCATCCCCCAAGCTTTTTGGGTTGATGGGCACATGTGGGATTTTGAGAGAGAGTCCTGGGTGCACTCACAAAACTGCTGAAACAGAAGCCTGGTAGGTGCCAAGAGAGGTATCCACAGACACATTAGAGATCCCAGCCTTAAAATAATGTTACGTTGTACACCTGATTCAGTCATTTGCTGCTATGACAAGTCTTTGCTATAGTAGATGTGTGAGTGCATCACATATAAACTGAACAACAGATCACATGTGTGCCTGATTCGTGTGAGGAGGGAAGAATGCATGAATGAGTGTTTTGCGTAATCCTGTGTCTGTGTGGCGAAATGGCATTGCACAAATTTATCTGTGTGGTGGAAAGGAAAAGATGTCCTTGCTCTGTCACCATACAAGACCCTGGGCAGCCAGGCAAGGGCCTGGACTAAGCCATAGATATTGCTATAGTGTTTCAACCTTGTCTCACATGCTTAAGGTTTATAGGTTTTGCAACTCACCTAACTAATGACCTTTACCTATAGTGTTTGCATAAGGACAGATACCATGGGAGGCCTGAGTTGGTCTCACAACTGCTCTGTCTCATGACTGTATTACCTTTGCTCTTTCACCGAAAGCCAGCACATACCTTGGTTCATCCACGTTTCATGAGCTGACTTTTCTTCTACAAATATATTTTAGCATTAGATATGCTTTTTAATTTTAGGTTGCTATTCAGTGCTGCGAGTGCAAACAAGACCCGCAAACATCTCATACAATGTATTCGGTAAGTGTTTAATCTAAATACCTCAAGAGAGCTAGATGGGAGGTCCGGAACCACCTAGTTCAATTCTTAGCAGCTGCTGCAAGATTTCTGAGAAGGCAAATCTATGCCCGTTCTTGTTGCTTAGCAGCATCCATTCATAAGCCAAGAAACTAAAGCAAACAACCCCTATAGGAAATTCTCTTTGTAGATGTCGTCTGACGATTTCATGTACAATTTTATGTATTTTTGTGTCTTATTAATTACAAATGGCTTTGTCTTTTCCCTCTCTAATTTAGCTGAAATCAGGTGAGGACTGTTTTCACTAGTGGGTGTATTAATGGCAGCAAAGGTGACATTAACTAGATTCTGATACACAGCAGTTTCTAACTGGTGTTTTGAAAATCTTTAGATATAACAGATGTGGGAAAATCGATGGATATGATATGAAAGAGAAAAGGTGTGTGTGTGCAAATTAATTTAATGAATACCTGACTCTCTTTTTATTATGTAAATGTGCATTGTAGAAATCTGGATTACACACACACACCTTAACGGAAATAGAGGAGGAAATAATTTTCAGATGATTAGCAGCCCATTATTAATGTGTTAACACAATACCTACAATTACTATAAGTGGTATACTGGGGGGTGGCAATAGAAACAAGGTAAGGTTTTATTATCATTCTATCATTCTTTTATTGTATGCTGCCATTGTTGCAGTTCTTGTATGATACTTTCCCCTAAAAGACTTGTAAATCTTGAAGGCAGCAGTCCTAGGCAGCATCTCAGCAGGCCTAGCATATTCTGCATTCCCAGTTCTGAGACTGGAGATGATGCCCCAAACTCAGAACTGGAAATCAGAGGGCAAACCCCTCTCTCTTCTCCTCAGAACCAGCACGGAAACAACCCACACTAGCAGCTTCTCTGAGGTCACAGAGAGAGGGAAAAGGGAGTGTTTCAGTGGCCAGGTTGGGGGTGAGACTGGAGAAGCCAAGATATGAACTGTTCTGAAGCTTCTCCAGCCTGCTTCTCATCCTCTCTGAGACACTTCTGCCAAACAAGAAGAAAAATTGAGCAAATATTTGGGGCAAGAGGACAGGAAGCTGAAAATGTCCTTCACTGTTTCTCCTTTCATGCATAGGATGCTTGTAAACTTCCAAGTTAAACAGTTTACAAGCATTGATGGTACAGATGATAGAATTGCATCTTTAATTAGATAAATACAATATTGCAAAGGCCATTGGCACGGGTGGGGGTGGACAGAGTCCATCTCTATATTTCTAATATGACCCTACATTGGCATTTCGCACCTTGTGTGGCATCTCTTGAATGAATACTTGGCACATCCAGTTGCAGAAGGAGGGCAGAATCTGCTTCACCCCCTCATGATGTCTCCAAATGTAGTTACTTATATTTTTTCTACAGCGGTCATTCACAGATACAAGAAAAAGTAAAAGGTTACCATGTGTAGAACAGGAGAGGGTTTCACCCTCCCCAACATCTTTGCCAGTTGAATTTCATTTGCTTTGCCCCATATAAACCACTGAGAGCCTTTGACTTATCTGGGGAAAAGTTTAAGAACATGGCCACAGAATTCTGATACCAGTTGGTATCAGAATCAAAATATTCTTCTAAAATATGTCTAATTATTAAATATTTGTGCACTGGTTCATACAAAAGAACAATATGTTGGTTTATTATTCCTAATACTAGTATTATTTACCACCACTTCTGTCCTGGTGCCATGCACTAGAGTGTGATGCCTCTTGATTCTGTCTTGACTGGGGGTTGCAGCCTCACTGCGAATTTGTCAAACCCTTGAGCCATGAATTCCATGCTAGGATTAAGTTTAGCTTTTTGCATTCATAAGATAATGAGGAACAAACTAATCTCAAGCTCTGTTTCCTGTAGCGTATCTTCATTTATTGTGCATTCATGATTACTTCCTCGTGCTTATTTATGGATTCCTTAGGCAACATTGTGATCCTCCAGTATTTCTAAGCACTTTGGCAGTGGTCAAAATAGAGGAAATGGGCTCATATATTTGAATGGGGAAAATGGCACCATTGCTCCATGTGTACTTGAGCAATGCCCTTATAGCCCAGCTCCAACTAGAGGTCATGTAGTTGCAAAGCACAGTTCAGAGCGTGATGCAATGAAACCAGAAGTGGCTACTGAACAGTTTCATGTAGAAAAGTCATCAGTGAGGAGTGCATTGGTGTTCGTGGCAGGGATGTTCAACATGGTGCCCACAGGCACTTTCTGACACACAAGGATCCCTGGGCCTCCCTATTTCTCATTTCTTGTTTAATAAGAAAAATACCTGGGAGGCTGCAAAGTGAAGTGCTGGCCTCCAATGTCAAATGCACTGGAATTCAAAAGTGTGCTTTGTGTTTCAGTGCTCAAACCCTAACTCTGCCTTGTAGTTAAGTTTTAGGGCAAGTTGCAATTGCATTTGTTTCACTAGTAAGCCTTCTGGGAAATCAGAATTTTCTGACCAGCCATGCTTATCACAGCAGCCATTTTATGAATGGCCAAACCTTTGGTGAGAACCATTTTGGGAGATAACTTGCTTTTGAAAATTCCAACTTTTTGGTACCAACTCAGCCCAAAAGTTCAGGGACTCCTGACTTATGCTATTATCTTTCTTACCATCCTTAACTTGTTTTCCCTGAAGGAAATTTGAAAACAGGCAGACTTTTGTAAACTAAAAACTTATTTCCAGACTTTTGTAAACTAAAAATTCCACCCACCCTCTCCTCAAGTCTAGACTAACCCTTTCAAATGACCAATCCCATGAATTCCTTCTCCAATTTCTGCCCTTGAGTCACCTGTCATTTGCTTCTTACCTTCCCATACCTCCTTCAAGCAATCCCGCTGCCCTGCCCCTGTCAAGTTATATGCTAGAATCCCTTTCACTGTCCTGAACTGATTACTCAACAGTGATTATTTTGGAAGTCCATATTCACAATTTTGTCATTTTCCTTGGAGTTCTAGACATGGGCAACCTACTAAGTCTCCCATCCTATTGAAAGGCTGTGACCTTCTGACTCTTCAAAATTATACTACTGAAGAAATCAAGTATTTACTTTGGGTTGCAATGGATCTGAAGGAAAGAATCAAATGCAGAGGGGAGGTATGCAACATTTTCACTATGAATGCTCTTCTCTTCATGTCTTGTATGGCTTTCTTCCCTGTAAAGATGTGTGTGACGAAGCCAGCTTCCTCTGTGTTGAGAGATGGCATCCATCTCATCTAAGGTGGTGAGTGCCGGGAGAAATAGAACCAAAGTGCAGCCACTGAAAATACAAGAGGATGATGCTGGCATGCCTGAGGGACCCTGGGATTTGCAGAAGAATTTAACCTGCCCCCTCCCTCACTGAATTAGGATTGAACATGCTGAGTAGCCAGGGAATGCTGAATGTCCGTTGAGGGCAGGGGAATGGAAAACTGGGTTCCTGGTGGTGGAATGTCCTTTGAACTCCTTTTAGTTTAGAGCATCTTTGAAGAGGATGTGACTGCATGGCAGGAACTCTGAACAGGGGCACTCCAGCTATGAGGGGAGCATGTAATTTGTTGCCACTCCCACTTGCTTCACAGATTGGCAACCATGGATGGCATAATGGTTGCAGCATCTTTTGTTTCAGCAAGCCAGATGATTATATGAGGGCCTTACTTTTTCCATGCTTCAACAACTGTATAGCTTTGTCCCAGTGCCACGTGCGAAACCATGAATGATATAATGGAATGTGATGCTCTGGAATGCTCTGAGCATCATGGAGAGTAGGTTGGGATGTAACTTCTGACAGGAGAAAAGAGAAGGGGCCAGGTGATCTGCCGGATAAAGTGAGGCTGTGTCTCCCAGATGGACAGCACTGTGTTTGAGATGTTCCTGGAGTTATTCGCTGTTAAATTAATGAATGCATGATGTGTTCCAGAAATAACTGGAGCTGGAATAAATGATAAGAAAAAACAGCCTAAGCATTTGCTCCTCAGAAGTAAATGGGTAAACGAATCGAACAGATATCCTAAACCAAACATATGTCAACATTCCCAGTTATAGATTCTGTTGAATTTAGGCAGACAGAAAAAAGTAAGGGCAATTGTGCCACATTTATGCCAATGCACACCTGTGGCCTCCATGGAAGCACAGCTCTCAGCATGTGGGAGTCAGTAAGCTGCAGCAAAGGGCAATCTCACGTGCAGGGTGATTATAGAGGGATGGGAAAAAGCAGCGGCTGGATCATCCCCAAAGCACATAGGTACTTAATGTGTCCTCGCCCAAGCAGGTGTCCCAAGGTTGCGCTGGCCTGCAACTCCCATATTCCCCAGGAGCATAGCCATTGGCCACACTGAAATATGAAGCTATAGACAAACACATCTAGAGAGCATCATGTTAGCGAAGGCTGACTGAATGTAACCATGGTATGGAGAGAACAATCCTGTGCTTCTGAGAGAGCATCCCAGGGACCAGGGGACTCCTCACAGTCCCTGCTGCTGATGCCGTAGAAACTGCTCCGACCTGGAAAAAGGTTCCAGAACCCAGTCCTGTCCCACCTGCTTGCACCCATCCTGGCAAGAGCAGTGCCAACCTCCTTCTGAGGCTGCGGAAGGTGCCTGGGAGGACCTTGGAGAGGTCTGAAAGGGGATGTTGCAGCAAGCAGGTAGTAGAGGGAAGAGGAAAGTATGGAACATGGGGTTCCCTATGGTCTCCAGCCCCACTCCGATTCCCAGCTGTGTAACCACTCTAAATGGTCCATCTAAAGAAATACTTTTCCTTTCCTTTTTCCTTTTTCAAGGTTTATATGGAGATGAAAATTGCCTCCTTTGCTCCTTCTTCTCTGTCATCAGCTACTGTTTGCAGCATCCCTCAAGGCAAGCTGTAGCATTGCACCCTGATTTATTTAATCCATTTATAGACCACTTACCATAGCTAGAAAAAAAATCTCAATACACTTTATAATACATGATCGAGAAACCAGACATCAAAATACAAAACCTTATGACAATATAAACAACTGATGAGTATTTTAAACATACAAAAATGAGAAAGTCAAAGTATATTGTTATTGCCTTAGAATTAAGCAAGTTAAAAGTAAGATTTTTTTAAAAAATGAACTCATTAAAGTAAAATATAAAACAAAATGTGAACATTTTCAATATTTTACCAGATCTTGAATATATACAGATTTTTGTTTCAGTTGTGTAATATTGTCTAGAGGGTCTAAGAGTCTGGGTCCAAGAAAGATATGCTTCCTTGAGTACATTTTAAGCAGTGTTATGAACTAGTAATTTAGAACCTAAATGCTACCTTTCTGTCTAAGGGCATAACTGATCATGAATAAATAACCCCCTAAATAGCAACCATCTGAAAATGGCACCGTAGCAAAATTATTCTTTCAAACATAAAGCAAATATTCATTGTGCTTAACAATGTGACAAAAGTTCTTTTCCATCCTGCTTTTTCAGTATTTGCCTTTGCTACAAGGAAAATCTTTAGCCATGATTTTTGAAAAAAGGAGCACGAGGACAAGATTATCTACAGAGACAGGTGAATTTAAGGTCAACCTCATGAGAGTAAATACATTTCCATCGGTGTACTGTATATTTGTCTGATGAAATCACGATGTAATTTGAATCCAGAGTAGTAAAGAGAGGGCAGGACAAAAAGAAAAAGAAAAGTTTGAAACCAGGCACCATTGACTTAAGTGTTCTTGTTGCTTATTTTAGCCATTCATAACTTTCTTATCCTTTTGACAAAGGTATAAGGACCATTATCCTTTTACTTGATCAAGTAAAATGGAATTTATAACTGGAGGCAATCTGACCATAGTTAGATCAGTAAAGTTTACTTTTGACTTGATCATATCTGATATGTTTATCTATTTACCCAAATGTTACCCATTTAGGTACTATAATATCTCATTCTGCACATAAATTCTGTGTTTTATTAGTGTCTAGAATGTAAGGTAAATTGGTTTGGCAAATGGATTTCTGTGGGTTTGTGGATATCTAAGCTTTCTGTTCCACAAAATATCATCAGCCAGTTGAGAATGGTGGCAAATAATAAAGTTTTGTTCTGTTTTAGCAGATAAAAAAAAGTTGTCTGTTACTGAAATGCTTTCTAGCATTAACACAAGCAGGAGTTAGTCTAATCTGTTGTCAGCTAATGAAGTAACTGTGCCACCTGTTATTAGAAAAGTCCTATCTGAGCTGCCCATCACCAAGGAATCTGTCAGGAGTTTGCCAGCCCTCCTCCCCCTTGTTTGCAGGCCTGGGAAGGCTCTGAAGACCTGCTGATTTTCATGGTCCTTTCCATGATCTGTGAGCTACAGCTTTTACTGGTGTTATCTCTTAAAATAGCATTTTATTGAATATATATTTCTTGGTTTTACATATTGTTTTGTGTGCATGCCATCTTGAGAGGATTCCACAGTTAAAGGTGGCCTGATTTCTAAAATTAATTTACTAATTTAAAAAAAAAAAACATTTTTGAGCTTAAATCCAGCAATCTTGTAAACTAGTTTAAAAGGCAGAAGAAAGAGATCTGTTTTGAATGCAATACTTGAGAGTCCAGGGATTAATAATTCAGATGTAAGAACATATGCTTCATTGTCATCACAAAACAACTGAATCTTGAACACACATTATACATTATTATATAATATGTGTGTACTTTAGGTAGGAACCTACTATTGCACTGGGTCAGACCACTGCTCCATTCAGCCTAGGATGCTTGCTGTAGCTAATATCAGTCCTCCAGCTACTCGGGCAGAAGTCTTTCCTGGCTCCGTCCCCTGAATACTTTTAACTGCAGGTAACAGGAACTGAACTGGGGGACTTCTGTATGCAGAACTAGTGCCCTGCCGCTCAGTTGTCACTCTCTCTTTCCCTCCAAAGTCAGCAGCATTTACCAAGTGACTGTGCTTATGGAGACACCCATGTCTGCAGCTTGCAACAGCATAGCACCACCTTCTTCAGCCTGGTGTCCTCCAGATGTGAGGGACTACAGCTCCCATCACCTCCAGCAAGAAAGGCCACAGCACACTTGGAGAACACTACGATGGAGAAGGCAGGCATAGCACCTCAGTAGCCAAAGAGAAGGAAATCCCTTTTTGATTACAGCATGTTAGTTCTGTCCTCTGTTGCACCTGCTCACTGGAACATGTCACTGAAGGAACAGGAGTTTGCATTTACAAAGCAGGTTTAATTATTTCCAATATTCATGAAAGCCTCTGGAAATATTGGCTTGCATAGCGATTCCTCCTCGCTGTCTCTATACCTTTTCTTATTGGCAGTACTTTAGGAACTTTAGTCACTGAATATACACAGGACCATTGTAGCTGCCTCAACTGTTGAGGCAATAATAGTAGCCATAACGTTTATAGCATAAACTTACTTCCTGCTGCTTTTATAGCTTTGCAGACTCTCAAAACATTAAGTTTATGGCAATGGCTCTTGCGCCATCTGCTGGTGAGAGTTAAGCAGATTGCATATGATGAGGGCCATTGCCAAGACTACTTTTATCACATAGTTTGGCATTGCAGAACCATTTTTCTTTAACTAATGGGGTGGGGTGCTGAGATGAGCCAGATCAGGAGCAGGCTGTGAGAACTGGGAGGCTATAACCCTTTGTACCCTGCTGCCGTTCTTCCTGATCAAGAACATTCCCTTTGCCTGCCCTTTGCATGGTGAGGAGCTCCCATTCGGAGCTTTTCTATGAAGGGTATTTATTGTGTCCTTGTCATTCAATATTCATTAGTCCCTTAGATGATGCTATGACTCTCTAGTTTTGTTCCTGTTTTTAAAGAGCACTTCTGAGAGCAAAATTTTAAAATTTTGAGCAGGAAGAACACAGTGTTTTTGTGTGATTCTGCTATTCTCTGTTGCCCCCTAGAGATCATGTAGCAGAAAATCAGGAAAGTGCTCTTCTGGTAGTACTATCATCTCAGTTCTGCAAAGAAACTGAAAGTCAACAGCCTTGTGTAGAAAAACCTTTACTCTCTGTACAGGTGATGGAGTTTGCATTGTTCTCCCATCTCTTTCTCTCGCTCCCTTCCACCTCCCGCTCTCTTGCTGCTGCATCAACAGCAGTAGCAGCACCCTAAAACAATGACTGCTCACAACTCATAGTTCAGGAAGAGAAGACTAATGGTACTAGCATAGTGAGAATGTGACATTAAAGTGGAATAAACTTTGAAACTTGACCATAGTCTTTTTTTTCCCCTTTTAGAGCCAGAAATAATACACAGGTCCTGTTTGTTAATTTATTTATTTTACGGAAACTATTTATATCCCACCCCTTTTCCTGCAAGAAATAAAAGGCAGACACATAGTCTTTTCCCTATTTTATCCTCACAACAACCCTTTGAGGTAGTTAGGCTGGGAGTCAGTGACTGGCCCAACGTTGTCCAGTGGACTACATGGCCGGCTTGGACCTAGAAGCCAGATCTCCCAGTTTCTAGTCTAAGACTCTACCCATGTGTGACACTGACTCTCGTGTCCCACAATTTGCCATGTTTTTCTGGGAGAGCTCCAATACTCTGCTAACAGCAATATGACAGTTTTAAAAAGCAACTACTCGAACTACCTTCTATGCTAGAGTCTTGATATGTAGAATTCTGACTTTAATGGGACAACAAATTATTTTTCAAAACATTTTGGAACACCTAACTTGCACAGTTAATATTCTTAACAATTTTGTATGTATCTTTTAGGATTTGCTCTTCTCGGAGGACATCCTTGTTTCCTCACAGTTCAGGATATTCACCTGGGCATCAATGAAAACATCACCGACACAGCACGGTTTGTAGTTTATCCTGGAATTGTTCTGCTTCCTTTGTATTTTAGGGTCTAAAACACTAGAAGTGCTTGCATTACTCAGTGTTAAACTTTAGGCTGCATGAAGATGAACATAATTAGAGTGGTGAGCTCACTCTGGAAGCACACCCACTGCAAGGGGTATTTTTTAATCATTCCTTTAGATAGAACCTTAATTATAATGAGTCATTGGATACAGAGGAAACCAAGCACAACTTCCAGAATTAGGCTTTCCTGGTTCTGACACACACAAACACGCATGCACACCACAATACCCTGCAATACCCCCCCCCCCAAAAAAAAAGAAAGCTCTTCCTGGAGCTCAGGGGATCTTCTGGAACAATGTGTGATAGCCAACAAAACAGCGGTCAGTCCTGAAGTGCATTATGATAATCTGTGTAGCAACAGCCCCAAGCAAAGTCCAAAAATGGAAGAAACTTCATTATCTACAACAATGGTCCAGTGTGCACAAAACCCACAGTCCAGGATTGTTTAAACAGGTGAGTTGCAGGATGTGCAGGTGGCCATTTTTAATATTCAACCCAGGCAGGATACTCGTATTGCCATGGTTTGGTTTGGTGGGTCATCCAAAACAGGGTGGCAGGTGTTATTTAAGGGTTAAACAGACTATGGATTATTCAAAGGCTATTCAGCCTCAAACAATCCTTCCCACATGTATTTGCAGGACATGACATGTTGGTACCTGTGGGTGCTGCAGTTTATCATGACTTAAACCATGGTGGCCTGCAGTGATGGTGTGAACCATGTCAATACATTCTTAGTGGGAAATATCCATGTATCCTCAGCTACTGTGAGCACTTTAGCCAATGCTCAGAGGCCTTGAAGACAGGTGTGGGATGGGTGATATCATTGGCCCTGATAATCAGTAAGTCCTGGGGCTCTGACACTGCTGAGAATGAGGCACGAAGAGCTGCAACCAGGCAGGGTAGTCAAAGGATTCCGGTAAAGCTGCCTTGCTCATTATATAATAATGTGTACTGTGGTTGATTGATCGATCGATCGATTGAATTGGTGGTGATTCATTTCATGAAGGTCTGATGAAGGTGTTTATCCAAATACACTCGGCTTTTTGACTATTTTATTTCATTTCATGATTTTTCATTATTTGAGGCTTTGCCTCTTTTTTCCTTTTTTAAATTCAAAAAAGCATATGTTTCAAAGTACACTGAAGGTGGACGCATGAGAAATATCTTAGAGATTATTGAGCTGTATAAATAGATGAGGTAAGATATGGGAAAGTAGAAGGCTTTATGCTTCTACTTTCCCATATCTTAGGAGGCTTTATGCTTAAGTCTAGATCTTCAGGCCTGATTAAGAAGTAATGGGAAAACTTTGATACTGAATTTAAGATTTTAGTGCAGTCTATTTTCTAAGAGAAAACTGACATTTGATGAGTCAGTGCTAACCACAAGATGAGCTTCCTCCACAAATGTTAAATTTATCTTTAAAAGGTGTTATTTCTAGTCTCTATTTTGAAGCTATGAGCCATCAGTAGGGATTTCCATTGACTTTTTCATTGACTCTGTGGAAGTTAAATGAAACTTCCATACACAAATTGTTTAAAGGAAATAATCAAGGGAAATTGTATTAAATAAGTTTAATGAAAGGAAGGTTTGCATTAAATAATCTGAATTGCAAGAACAGTTATTTTCTGCTTTGTAGACTGTAGATTATGCAACAAAGAATCTATTTATTTAGGTTCTTTGGGCATGTTTAATAATGACACCAGCTGCTTTTCCATTTGGATAGAATACTTTACCTGTATACTGATTAGCTTGTGCCATTTAAAGAGTGTGTGTGTGTATTCTCCAAGGGGTTAACTATTTTTAATAAATAAATAAATTTGTGCAAGCCCTGGCAATTATTCAGGCAGCACAAAATGATTGAGCATGATTGTACTAATGTTAATGATATATCAAGTAGACTTGTACACTTAGTAGACACTAAGTAGACACTTATTTTACTTTTTTCCTAGGGTGTTGTCAACCATGACAGATGTGATCCTGGCACGTGTGTATAAACAGGCTGATCTAGAGGTGTTGGCCCAAGAGGCCACAATTCCAGTGATAAATGGACTGTCTGATTCTGACCACCCTATCCAGATTTTAGCTGATTACCTTACACTTCAGGTAATATCGCTTTATTCATTATTTGCTTTTAGAAAACTGTGTCATTGTAACAGTTAAAATGTAAATCCTAACCATCTCAGATGTGGAAGCCTGCAAATCTGTACAGAGCATGGTATAGAATTTGAGTTGTAAGATAAGAAATCCTTGATTTAAATGTCTCTCCAGCCACAGTTTGACTGAAGGCAATATTCTATGCAAATCTAGACATAAAAGGGGTTTGCAATTCCTAGGGTGCCCCTGCCAGCGTGCTGAGAGATGTAGGCCTTTCTTCTATCTAACCTTACACACAATTGTGCCCCACATGACCTTCTGCAAGCAGATATTTCTAGCTTATACCTGCTACCTAGGTGTGGGTGAGATGACAAATCATGGAAACCCCTCATTGGGCACTAAATATCCAAAATGACTACCTGCACATGCTGCAAATCACATGCTGTGATTTTGCAAACCAGCTCAATGATTCCAACAGTGAAGGGAAGACCACCTGTTGTTTTCTGAGAGAGAGTCTGAGAATGGTTATGCAACCTTCCTAGGCCAGACAGGTCCTGGCAAGTTTGGGCTCTCTTGTGCAGAATCTTTGATCCTAGTGAAGATGTTTAGATCTGGGTTTGTAGACTAACCCCTCACACTCTCCCGTACTTCCTCCAAATTCCCAGCTTCACTCCCCAACATTTCATCAGACCCTGAAGGCATGTGAGCTGAGCTAGTTTGAGATGCCGACCTCCCTGGAGCAGGGCTTATCCTCCATTGCCCACAATCTGCAGCTACCATCTAGAGTCTACCATGCCTCATTGTCCCACCTTAGCTCCTGAACATCAGAGTCTTTCCATATGTGCCCTCACTCTTGTCCAGTATGGTGGACACCCATTTCTTTGACTTTATTTATTCACATCAATAGCAAGCAAGAGACTCTGTGGTGGTGTGTGAGTTCAACTCTTTGCCTGTAAGCAGCTCCACGTTATTCATGCTAACTGTGTTTATGCCCAAGAGCACTGCGTGCACCTTTGATACAGAAACAATGTAAATCAAGTGTTGGCAACTTGTGACTGTCTAAATATTTTGACTGAGAAGCCCTATCAACTCTGCCAATGAAAAGGGATCATGGGAGTTGTAGGCCAAAGTTTTGCACACTTTAGATCAGGAGTTGACAAAGATATTCATCCTTCCTTAAAAACTCATGTACATGCACACCAGCACTCTGACTGGGTTGCCCCTCCCCAGCTTGTGTGCACAGGAAGTTAAGGATAAACATTGATCATTCAAACTTCCTTCATTTGCTGTGAGGAAACAAACGTATTCTCATAGCATAATCATGTACCATATATGCTTCTTCTTCTTTGACTATATGTATCCTACAGGTTAAGCTTTGAGTGGGTGTTTTTCACTGCACGTCAAAGAAATGCAAAACTATCCATGTAGGCACCGTAAAAAGTTTTGTGGGAGCCATGCATTGTGCCTAAATGACTCTTCTCCTACATTTTATTTCATGGTTTTTTGTCTTTCTACTCAAGAGCTAGCAGAAGAACTGCACAGAAATGGCCAATCTCTGTCTGAAGATGTGAAACTCTTAAAAGGCTGGTGGTCGGTCAGTCTTTGTAAGCGGCTTTCGAAGATGTAGCACCAGGAGTCCTAATCAGAAAATGAAATCATGGTTCCATTACAGTGCAGAGTGAAACAAATCACTGTTGTCTGTCTTTCTGTCTGATAGCAACCCCCTGACCAACTGCTTTTACCTTCAGAATGCATGTTATCACAAAGAATGGAAAAGTTTTCAGTAACCACAAATGACTCACGGTTCTTATATAATAGCTCACTGCCTGCTTGCCAGATACCTCATGGGATACTTGCTTAGAATACTTTGTTATCATCCCTATTTCTTTCTTTCTTGGCTTCTGTGGTTCAGAAAGACAAGGCAACAGATGGGAGTTAATACGTGGCTTCTGTCATTTAATGAGCTATGTCTATTCTCTCTGCAAAGATTCAAGATACTTAGTTGATAATAAATACTTTATAGTCTGGATAGCAGGTTATTACCACGGGGCTTCTTCAGGGCTATTCTACCCAGTGCTTAGAAAAGAAAACATTCCAGTCAATGCCGAGAAAAGCCATATTTTGTAGTCTGAATATATTATGCAATTGAAAACAAATGTATTAGCTTATTTTGCCTAGTTTATTCTATTTCTAGTAGACAAAAGCACAAAGAACTATGAAAAGTCTAAGAGACCCTATCCTGTTTATTGGAAATAAATAAGCCCCATTATTTTTGTTGTTTTGGTTTTTGAGACTTTGTTGCACCTTTTCAGGTTTATCCTCAAAAATATTAGAATGTTAGAAACCTGCTTAAAACATGTCACAACTTATGCCAGGGTACATTCCTCATCTGAAGGCATTTTGTCGGTAGTGCTCTATGATTACACGTGTGGAATACACAACTGCCCTGCCATAGTTCTCAAATATATAGATGCACAAACATGTCCCCCTTGTCTGTAACAAGGATAATGCATTGACAGTGATGTTAACATCCTGAAATGTTAACATCAGATTCAGTTAACAGGAGACAGATTTGTACAGGTGACTCATGGATCAGGAACAATCCTTGCTGCTAAATCCTAGAGGACCAAGTTACAGACAAAGAAACTCTTCAAAGGTGGCAAATACTGATTGTTATGCAATTGTGATAGTACCGCTGGCCCTGTCAGCCATTGCCTTTTAACCTCATGCTCCCTGTCTGTCATCACATTGTGATAGAGGTGTGTATCTATCTATATTGGCTAGGAGCACTACGGGTCTCTGAATGGATTGACCCTCAGCTGGATAGGTGATGGAAATAATGTCCTGAACTCCATTTTGCTGAGTGCTGCTAAATTTGGGATGAATCTTCACGTTGCTACTCCAAAGGTAAGACAATCTTGTTGCTGAGCTGAAAGGAGCTCTCATTCTTTACAGGTTCAGTGTTGTTGTTCCATATTTTTGCAAACTTTAAAGTGGCCTGATATAATGTAGGATATTGATGTGGCCCTGATTAAATCCAATGTAATGAGTCAGCAGCTTTGACAAAGTTACAAAATAGCAGCCTTACTATTTGCTAAACAGAGTTGCCTCTTATATGAGAATCCAAAGCCAGATTGACTTTGCCTTAGAAGTCCATGTCTCCATAAAGTCATTCTTATTGGAAACACAGTTTAATGCAGAGATGGGGAGCCTCAGGCCTGTGGGCCAAAACTGGCCCTTCTGGGGTCACTCTGGAGTTCTCCAGAAGTCTACTTACTCATCCCCTTGCCCATCCCTTTTCTTCCAACCACTCATTTTTGCAATGTTCCAGATTCCCCTTCTGAAAGGTTGAATGCCTCTCCTGATGCTTAGTTATCAACTGAAGCTGAAGCTGAATATGCTGGATATTTTTGTGGCTTTGACCCCACTCCTTTTGTGTCCCCCTCCCCAAGCATCTCCAAAATAAATATGACCCTCCAACTGAAAGAAAATTTCCACCCCTGGTTTAGTGGTATAAAATGTCAACAAAACTAGTCTGCTTTCACCCAGAAGGAATTTGCTTAACAGTAAGGGAATGGTTCTGTGGAAGAGATTCTTGGAAGGAGGAGGGAGAAAGTTAGCCTGAAGACAAAAGCTGATGGGTCATTTTGCCTAGGAGAATAACATGCTAGAGAGAAATCTCTATCTGCAATATAGACTCCACAAGCAAAAAGATCCCTTCTTAGGAGAGGCCAAAATGTAGCCTCATGAAGGGTCCCTGAACACAAGAAATGTCTTTTCTGAGGATGAGGAGTGACTGTACCATACAGAGAGCAAAAGTGAAGAGTGTTAACTGTTGGTTTGGCACAGGAGGTGATGGGTTGTTGGGGCATTTGACCTATCCCATGTTTTGATCCCCTTTTTAAAGTTTGAACCATTGGATTATAGCCTAGTTAGAGAAGACACATTGAAATAACTGGGATGTAAGTTAGCCTAATGGTGGACACAACCCTCTGAGTTATTTTGGTTGGTGTTTACCTAGTGGTGGAGGCCACAGCTAAATCTGACAGTATCTAGACTTAACTCAGGTCCTGCTGATTCCTTGTTAAGTGTAGAACTGTTCTGGAGAAAGATTCCAAGTGCAGCAGGAACAGGTGGGAAGGGGGACCTGGACCCTTCATCACCCACTCTTTTCTCCTCCAGAACTGCTTCTCCCCAGCAATTTTTCTCCCAGCAGGGATTACAGCTTATCAGGGAGCCTTGCTAAGAGATGCACAACTAGGAAAGAAAAAAAATTCTGAGTGGGGGGAGAGCTTCAACTCTTCCTTCCTGTTGCACTTTCAGTCTTCCTTTTCCATCTACTTCTATTTCATAGGCAACTGTCACTACCTAATATTAACTCAGTGCAGACATGTAATCTGCTTCCATTTTGACCAGTTTGGCCCAAGTGTTTGGTCCTAATCATACAAGCCCCACCTCAGTGTCTGCTTTTTAAACTCTAATGCAGCCTTCTTCATCGGGGGCCCTCCAGATAGTTTCTTTTGTACACCACCCTGTGAAGAACTGTTGCACTAGCTCCCAGGAGTGACGTGTCCACCTTGGCCTGAGCCAGGGGAATCTCAGACTTCACAAGACACTGGTGGGGCATTGAAGCAGCAGCCCAAAACACAACTCTCTGCTTCAAAATCCTGGTCCCAAAACTTTCAACAATAACAACCCAGCAGAAAGCACTAGACTGAGTACCAGAACTTACTTGGAAGGAAGTCCCCACAATACCTGGGGGGACTTTTAAGTTTATTTATTTCTAAAAGGAGAATAAAACCAGAGCAACATTTGAAAACTTACTTGAAGCAGAAAGTAAAACAAACAAACAAACCAAAATCCCAGGCAGTGATCCCTGCAAAGCAGCAAAGTATCACCTCCTGATGATACACTTGAACCCCAGAGAACTCCAAGGTGGTCTTTCTTAGCGATTCACGGGCTGGCTGGCATAGTTTTACCAGGCTCCAAGGGAGGGAGAGTAAGAGTTCCTACAGCCAAGATCACTCCATCTGATTAACTACTTTTGCTTTGAGCCTGGGGCTAGAGACAACCTCCGACTGACACACCTGCAGCCTCACTTTCTACTATGTGCAGCTTCAGCCTGGCAAAATGGAAATTTACAATCAACTAGGATGTGGCAAAAGAATTGGCGCTCTTGACACACCTCATAGGGTGGTTCACAAAGTAAGACCTAAAATCATACATGCTCATGCTTGCCTATGCTGGGTATGATGGGAGTACTGCATTGACACATCTGGAGCATGCCGAGTCGAGGAAGGCTGTTCTAGGGATGGTTTCCAAAGCACGCGCTTAATCCAGGTTAGCACCAGTTGCCAACACAGGCACTGTGCTGTAATCGCAGGATGGCCAAATGGTGGTCCCTTCTGAGGAAATCTGGGGAGGAACTTGAGAATTACGCCCCTTCCATGCCCTTCTGTGTATCTCCATGGTCTCTTTACAGGTATCTGCTATCACTTGATCTGAATGAGGATCCCAGACCTGTTTGGTTTTTTTTAATTTAGTTGAGCAGAGACAGAAGCAACTCCTCTCATAGCACAATCTGTTGTTCCCTCCCTCCTTTCCTTTGGTCAAACATGTAGCATGGACACAAAAGAGTGGGCCATCCTCGGACAATTTGTTATTAGCTATCCAGTCAACACTCAGTTCCTCCAGATGTGCTGAACTGCAACTCCCCAGCCAGCCACTGATGTAGAGGAACAGATGTTAAAGGCACAGATGTTGTATGGTCAGCATGGCTTCACAGTAATTAATGTCCTAGCAAGGACAGAATACATTTTAATACTGTTTGTCTCCTTTGACAGGGTTTTGAGCCAGATCCCATGGTAACCAAATTAGCTCAAGAATATTCCCTAAAGGTATGAAAATGAGGTTTTAAAATGTGCTTTCTACAATCTGCTCAGCATGAATTTAGCTCCCTTTTTCTCCTTTGTTCATATTAGTACCACACCAAATTGTTTCTTACAACTGATCCTTTTGAAGCTGCCCAAGGAGCCAATGTTTTAATCACGGACACATGGATAAGCATGGGGCAAGAAGAAGAAAAACTAAAGAGACTGAGTGCTTTCCAGGGTTATCAGATCACAATGAAGGTAAAATACAAGGGGTTTCTTTTCATTCTATGATCAGGAAGTTCAGGAAGTTTTATTCTAGATTCTGTCAGGAAGTTTCAAAAATATATTAGGCCCATGTATATTAGTTTTCCTGGGGGGTTTATGGTACTTGTTCATAAATTCTTTAAAGGACAGATATTTCAGAATATTATAGCAACTCAGAAGTAACTGTTAATCCTAATGGAAGGCACCAAGGACAATCCCTTTCTTATGATGAAGACCGTAAGAGTCATGACAGGCCAAGGGTCTTTGTAGTCCAGCATTATGTTCCCAAAGTGGCCATCCAGATGCTTGTAACAAGCCCAAGAGCAGAACATGAGTGCAACAGCCTCTCACCCATGTTCCCCAACAACGGGCATACACAGGCAATCCTCCTCTGATACTGGAGGTAATATGTAACCCTCATGACTAGAAGACATCGTAGTCATATGTGCTGTGTGAAGGCGTACTTTTATCTGTTCTGAATCTCCCACCATTCAACTTCACTGGAAGAATTTGAGTTCTGGTATTATGAGAAAGGAAGCAAAACATCATCTTATCCACTTGCTCTCCAATGTGAATATTTTTATATACTTCTACCATGTCATGCCCATGCTGGCCTTTTTTCTAAGTGCCCCAAATGGAGGTACAGTGGCCTGAACTGTGCACAGTATCTCCATACCACATTTTAGATTTGTATACTGGCATTATGGCATTGGCAGCTTTATTTTTGATTCGATAATTATGCTTAACATGGAATTTGCCTTTTTCACAGCAGCAGATCACTTGGTCTACCAGCACCAATTTGGATCCCGTCAGTGGGATCCAAAATGGGAAGTTATGATTTCTTCCCCACTCCCGTTGTCCCCACATTGAGTGGTATGATAGTTGTTGAAGAGTCGCACTCAGGATTCTGACCCTGTTCCTGTCAACTTTACTTTCACTGCTCACCTGTCCTCAGCAATTGTGCATGTTCCTTCTTCACCCATCTTTTTTTATCACAGGAATTGCCTTGTTGCTTTCTTCCTTAACAATGTCTCTGATTTCAGTCCACAGTTCCTCTGCTTCATGGTCAATTGAGTTCAGTAATGAAAATCTGGTATGTGGACTTTAAATTCCTTAGAAATGTTATTTGAGTTGTATTTTTTCACTCAGAGATCTTTTCAGTGATACTTTCAGCTTTATTCTATTTTGATCTGAGTAGCTTATGGTCACTGCCACAATCCACTCATGGTTTTGTTTTGGCATTGAGACTACAGTTTCTCAGCCTGTTACTTCCAGTTGCATAGTCTAATTGATTTCTGTATTGGCTATCTGTTGACATCCATGATGTGTATAATGGTCTGATTGGTTGCCTGAAGTATTTATTTGCAATAAACAGATCGTTGGCCCCACATAATTCTATGGCTCATTCGCCTGCTTCATTTCTGACCCTAGGCTAAATTCTCCCACAGCATTTGATTCTGCTTTGTATCCTACTTTTGTGTCCCAGTCAGCTATGATTCATATGTCTCACATTCCATATTCCAATGGTATGCACTAGGTAGCATTGGACTTTCACATCGTCAGCATTGTTAGCTTTCCTTTCAGCTTTGATCTAGTTGTCTCATTAGAGACTGTGCTGTTCATCCTTGTCTTGTTCTCTTCTCCGGTAGCTAATTGAGTGCCTTCAGAACTGGGAGTCTCATCTTCTGGTGCTATCTCTTGTATCATCTTGGTTTTTTTCATCATACAAAGAAATAATAGTCAGAAGCTTTTACCAGACAAGGTTATACAAATCTAGGGCTCTCGGCTGAACTATTTTTAGTATAGTACCTGTAGTTATCTTTTAAATGTCTCAGGTCTTCTGTTATCCTCTAAAAGGAGATAACTGAGAAAAAGAGATTGTTTGCAAGCCATATAACTGATTGTGGACCTATTAGGAGAAGTATCCTATTCACAAAGCAGACACAATATGGGGAAAATGTCTTAGTAAGATCAGTAAGTAGATGGGTGTGTGGAAAGCATAGAGGGGGGCACAGACTTCTATTGCAAAGAGAGGGAAAAGAACACGGATAGCAAATTTCATCCCTAACCCACTGCAAAAGCAAAATGTTCTTCACTTCAGAAGCTTCAGTTTAGTTTTAGCATCATTGAAACCCAGACAAAAATTATATTTTACATATTCATTTCTACATGAAGCCCAAGTTAACTTCTTTTCCTTATTTTATGCCATCCTACTGCTCATCTTCTTTAATGAGGTTGTGTTTGCTGTCTAGTCACTGGACTTCTGTTACAGGTTTAGGGATGTTTGTTTTGATATGTACTTTATCAGTTTATGAAATGGTCTGCAATGAAATTTTCTGCTCTCCTTTGCTAAGTTATCAAATATTTCTTTGACTAAGCCATGCTAATGTGCTTACCAAAAATAATAAAAAGTTTCACATTTATGTATGGAAAAATCTGAAAAAAGATGAAGCCATTTGCTGAACTATTTCTGATGGGAACTTCTTTTTAAAAAGAAAATAGAATCTAATAAAATATTTAAAAATAGGTATATAAAAATCCCATTAAAATTAATTAAGGATGCACAGATTTTGTAAAATCTGTTCCATCTGTGTTTTGCAGATTGTCAAGGATGTTTCATTCTGTCATCTGCTGACAGATTTTTTTAAAGAAATGTACAAGAATCTTATAACACTTGTACCAGGTAGCATTAGTGCAAGTACAAATCTGTGTTAATGTGCATTTGCACAAATATGATTTTGTGCAAATACCCCCACCCACAAAAAAGTAAAGAACAAATTCATGTGACTTGGAAATAACTGTTTCGCTATGAAATATGAAGGTCAGATTCATAGAATTCTGAACTCATTTGAATCCCTTGTAGACTTTTCTGACATCCCTAGAATCAATACATTAATTTTCCTTATTTTAACTTCCTTTCCCAGAACAGTAGCAACAGACATGTTCGAAACTGCTTATAGTGCTATGAAGCTTTGTTCATATATTAGATTAATATATTATGAGTTATTGATATAGAATACTCGATTGTGGCCTTTCAAGGCATGATTTAATAGGCAATTATTACCATTATAAAAGCAGTGCCTGGGCATACACCAAAGCAGTGCAGGATGTATCAACATCTTACCGTGATTCACTAACATTTTTAGTCTGATGCCAAAGATTAAAAGCCATATCCAATACTCTTGATTACACTGCCATATATTTAGAGCAACTCCAGACGTCAAGTCTGCCATTGGTTGAATGACTTATTGGTCCCAGCTGCCCACCATAAGGGAAGTGCTGATCAACAATTGTTTGACTGTGATGGTGTAAAGGAGAGTCTGGGGAGGGAGGAATGTGCAACAGGAAGAAAGTGCAAAGCTAGATGTACATTCAGGGCACTAGATGCAGGAATGCCCTGGCAAATTTACTGGAGAAGGCTGCATTCCAATGACACCCAAAGGGATGAATGTTTAACTCAAATATTGATCCGTGATTAGACAGGTCATCATCAAGGATTATGATAGTACTGGCCTGTAGCATATGGAATATTCTTTAGCTTACCTATTTGCACAACAGGTTTGCTTTCCCTTTCTGCAATGATTTATTTGACAAAGGAGCCTGCAAACTTCACTGTATAACTAGATAAAAAGAGGAGGGGGAATACTTTGTTGCAGCTATATTATTTTATTATTTTATTTTATTATTTTTATTATTTGCATCTATATACCACCCTAATAGCCCAGAGGCTATATGAAGTAAGTGGAAGTCAGTGAATGAAAGTAAGAGAAAATGAGTGGGTAAAAAGACTGATAAAACCAAGTCTATATATTAAAAGTTGTAAGGATACATACATACATGCTGATGTTCACTGATGTCTTGTTTTAAGTGCTTTACATGTGCACTTTTTTGTGCATGGGGCAGGAAGAACATTTTTTATAGTAAACTCGATAGACCTATAGCGTAGCAACGACTTGCATATTAATACATTAATGTGCTTAATACATACAAGGTGAATGTGTTATCTGTTTATTAAAGTTCTTGTCAATATCATCAAGACTACTAACACATTTTTTAAATCTCACATGCCCCATATAAATCTATATTTTCTTAATAACACCACCAGTGTTATTTACAAGCCCCATACAATTAATCCTATCCTCTCTTAATATACTCATATTTGCTGCTTAAAACAGAAGCATGGCAGGCACCACAAAACATGCTTCAGGGTGTTACTTTCTCACGTGTGGATGAGGATACATGGCTGTCAAGCCATGTAATTCCTTCCAAAGCATTAGGGATGCAGGCATGGTAGATGAGTAGCACTCACCTGGGAAGTCATGACACAATCCGGTGTAATATGGTCTATTAATAAGGTAGGGTTAAAGTAAGACTATCTTTTGTTGTTTCTTGATGGAACATTAATATATGAATTGGGCCCAAGAGAATGAGTTATATGAATTTAATTTTCCCCTTACCTGCACTAACTTTGCATGTGCAGGAATTTTATAAGACAGTATATGTATACCTAATGCTTTTTTAAATGGGATTTTGGGATTCTTTTTGGCACTTAGAGAAAATAAGTGAAAGCTGAGTACAGAAAAGCAGAATAAATGCTCCCTAGCACCTAATTAGTCTGCAAAGCACACAGTTTAAAGCAGGCTGCTCAGAACTCATACAGTGGTGAGCCAGAGAGCAATTATATAAGAAGATGGAGGATAAAAGAACCAGAAGGCTTACACAATTCTTTCAGCTTATTAGACCTTTCCACATTAACATGACCCAAGCAACATTGCCAAAATTGAAAACAAATCTTACAAATGCAGTTGGTTGTACATCGTTTCAATTGTCAGCTTTGTGTACGGCCTTTAGTTCATCAAGCAGCAGAGCCTCCCATTCAGTTTCTCATGCATATGTTTCTTTTCAATCTTTTAGATGGCAAAAGTGGCTGCTCCTGATTGGACATTTTTACACTGCTTACCCAGAAAGCCAGAAGAAGTTGATGATGAAGTGTTTTATTCTCCAAAATCACTGGTTTTTCAAGAGGCTGAAAACAGGAAATGGACCATTATGGTATGGGCATGCTAACCCGACAGATATATAGCTCTGATGACACAAGAACAGTTACCAAAATGCCTTTGGGATGACACATAAATTACCTCTAGTCCTGCCCCCATCCCAGCCTTCCACTCAACTCTGTTCACATAATGGTTCAGCAGACTTCCACAGAGCTGTGTCAGGCAATGCTGGCTGATTCTGCTGTTGTGTCACCAACACATCCTTCTCTGCTAGCAAATACAACATAGCAAGTTGTATAATAATCGCGAGTTGCAATGCTGAACTAACGCCATGCTTCTTGCACCTGATCCCTTCAAAGAACTGATCAATTATGAAAGACAAGCATTACTCATTATGTGTGCATATATATTTGATTGGTTAATAAATGGCACTCTCATGAGTGGTTAGAGTTGGACAATGTCAAGGCTCAAAGAAATGTACTGCCATAGTCCCTGTTTGTGATTATGTGTGTGCAGAGATCACCCCATGGGTGCTCCTGGCAGGACATTTGTGCCAAGGATGTAAGAAATATATGAAATAAGAGAGATGCTGCTTGGAAATAAGGACCATTGTGCTGAAAACTGTTACTTTTTAATCAGATATTTTGAGGCTGGCTGTAGCTATGCAGTAGCCAAGGAAAGCACTTGGGAATTCTCCAGCTCATCATCTCCTTTCACTATACCTCTATACACTTAGAGTCAAAATGGGCCAGGAAGGAGCCACTGACAGGCTCTTGCCCAAAGGGCCACAGAACCTGTTGCCATCTCTGAACTTGGAACTACCTCCTTGTGTGTGGGAGTGGACAATATAAGACAGAATATCAATGTGTAGTTCTCAAACTGTGCGGTGAGCCACCCGTGGAAGGCAGAGCTGCCTCTACTATTAGGCAGAATGGCTTGCAGAATTAGGGTGCAGTAAATTGTTAGTAACATCATTGTATTTTTACTGCCAGGGATAGGAAGAGGTGTTTGTCTGCCTCATGTGCCAATACCACACGAGTGTCTTTAGGCACTGTCAGCTTGACTAGGTTGATGATGGTATGGATGTCATTTGCTGTTCAGGCCAGGCAGCAAAATGTCATGGCCTATCCATGTTAGTGGGACTGAGACACCTGAACCGCAGTATTTATTTATTTACAAAATTTGTATGCTGTCCAATTATTAACGTCTCTGGACGGCTAACAGAATAAATAAATTGATGACCCACTCTGGCTGAAAGTTAATAAAATACAATAATAAAATTCAATATTAAAACATATTAAAATATTGATTAATTAAAAAGGTCTTAACCTGGTGCCAAAAAACATATAATGACGGCGCCAGGCGGACTTCTCTGGGGAGCGCATTCCATAGACGGGGCGCCACCGCAGAGAAGGCCCTCCTCCAGGTACTCTGTCTCCTAATATCTTTCACAGAGGATTCCCGGAGGAGGGCTTCTGTTGCCGATCTGGGGTGGGAGGGCAAATAGGGAAAAAGGCGTTCCTTTAGGTATCCTGGTCCCAAGCCATTTAGGGCTTTATAGGTAATAACTAGCACCTTGAATTGAGCCCGAACTTTGATGGGAAACCAATGGAACTGGTAGAGGACTGGGGTTATATGAGAATAATGCCCAGTCCCTGACAGCATCCTGGCAGCTCTATTTTGAGCCATCTGAAGTATCCAGAATGTCTTCAAGGGCAGCCCCATGTAAAGTGTGTTACAGAAATCCAACCAGGAAGTAACCAATGCATGTGTTACTGTTGCTAGTCAATTTTCCTCCAGGTAGGGATGCAGCTGATAGATTAGCCAAAGCTGAAGGAAAGCACTCCTTGCCACCACTGTCACCTGGGCTTCGAAGGACAGCTCCAGGTCGAGGAGCACTCCCAAGCTGTGGACCCTGTCCTTTAGAGGGAGTCCAACCCTGTCCAGGGCAAGGCCCAAGTCACTTACCCAGGAGCTCGAATCACCCACCAACAGAACCTCCATCTTATCTGGATTGAGCTTCAGTTTATTGGCCCTCATCCAGCCTATTACCTCGGCCAGGCACCAGTTCAGTACAGCCACTGCCTCACCTGGACTAGTTGAAAAGGAGAGGTAGAGCTGGGTGTCATCAGCATACTGATGACTCCGCAGCCCAAATCTCCTGATAACCTCCCCCAGCGGTTTCATGTAGATGTTAAATAGCAAGGGGGACAAAATGGAACCCTGCAGTACTCCATGGCGAAGTTGCCATGGTGCAGAGCCAAAGTCCCCCAGCACCAGCTTCTGGAATCGGCCGTCAAGGTAGGAGCGGAACCACTGCCAAGCAGTGCCTCCTACTCCCAATCCCAACATCCTATCCAGAAGAATACCATGACTGATGGTATCGAAAGCTGCTGAGAGGTCCAGGAGAACCAACAGGGACGCACTCCCCCTGTCTCCCTGCATAGGTCATTGTACAGGGCAACCAAGGCAGATTCAGTACCGTACCCAGGTCTGAAGCCAGACTGAAATGGGTCCAGATAATCAGTTTCATCCAAGAGTACCTGGAGTTGTCCCGCCACTGCCCGTTCCAACACCTTGCCCAAAAACGGGATGTTGGCCACCAGTTTATAATTCACAAGGAACTCAGACGCAAATTCTTCACCCTCAAATCACCCTCTTCCTGCCCTGTAAAGAAAACCAGATCCAGTGTGTGACCATGTTCCTGGGTTGGGCCTATGACAGTTGAAAGAGCCCCATGGCTGTCATGGGAGGCCATGAATTCCTGAGCCGCCCTGGTCAGAACAGTCTCGGCATGGAGATTGAAGTTCCCCAGGACCAACATCCTTGGGGTCTTCAGCAGCAGGTCCGAGATGATCTCCGTGAGCTCAGGCAGGAAGTCTGATAGGCAGAAGGGTGCACAGTACACCAGCAGAATCTCCAATCTATCTCGATCACCCAGTGCCAGGTATAAGCACTCTAGACCTGGTCTTGAGGGAACAGGAAGCCTCGTGAGGGAAATAGAGGCTCAATAAATTAAAGCAACCCCCCTCCCCTCCCCTCCCCTCCTGGCATGACTGGTGCTAAACTAGATACCCGGGCGAGCACAGCTGAGTGAGGGCTACATCCTCACCCTCTCCTGCCCAGGTATCTGTAATGCAAGCTAGGTCGGCTCCCTCATCCACAATTAAGTCGTGGATGAGGGATGTTTTATTATGGACTGACCTGGCATTAAGCAGCAGCACCGTCAGGCCCGAGGGGCGGTTGATAAGCTTACTCAGAATCTTCCAGTTGGAGGAATAACCAGAAGGGGGAACAGGTATCAACCATCTGGCCCTCCTTCTTCTATGCCATGTTAATCCCCCAACACCATATCTTCCCTTGCCCAACACCAACCCAATGGTGGCGCCCATGCACTCCACAGGCAACCCCATAAAAGCAGCAGCCAGACGTGGAGTCACTAAAACAAATACAATAAAATACAATTTAAAACCCTTCTGGGCAAACACAGGATCCTGCAGCAGGGAGGGACTTGCTGCTGTCAGGCTTTCTCTTATAGATCCCCTGCTTCCCTGCTCTATTTCTTGCTATTAGTATACAGTGCTTAATTTTTCTAAGAATATGCCTGCCTTTTGACCTAGGCTCCTATTCCCTCCTGCCTGATGTTTAAGGCTTGGAAATAAATTCATTATCACAGGGATCCACTCACTTTTAGCTAGTTTACTGTCTATTCCTCTTCCAAGGACTGGAAGGATGCAAGAGGCAACTACTGGGGCTCCAAAGCTCTTGCCTTTCCTTCCCACATCTGCAAAGTTGGACATGATTTCTTCAAGGCTCTGCTTGGCAGTGTCTTTTGCCCACTCATGGATAAGAAGGAAGGGATGGGGTATCACTAGCTGCTCGTCAGGGTTGCATCATGCTACCTCCAGGATCAGAAGCAGCATGCCTCTGCTTCCCAGTTCCTGGAACAATGGTGGGAAAGGAACGTTGCTTTCCTATCTTGCTTTGGGAGGTCTATGGGCATCTGAGTGGCCACTGTGCAAAATGGGATGCTGAACTCAGTAGACTTTAAGTGTGATCCAGCATGACTCTTTATTTTTTGAATGGAATGATTACTCAGTAGTGAGAAAAACACACTCCTCATGTGCATTCTTCTTTCTTAGTTGTTTATATATTCCTTGCTATTGGAATATTGAGCTGGCTGCATTATTTGAACTTAGGCTTACTGAAATCAATGGGGTAACTCGATAAATGACTTAACCTGAGCTCCAGTGATTTCAGAAAGGACCAAGTTCAACTTTACTTAGTGTGGCTAGTTATTTCATAATTTATTCATTTTCTTTTCTAGGCTGTCATGGTTTCACTGCTGACAGATTACTTGCCACAGCTGCAAAAGCCTATGTTTTGATTTGGGAGCTTTTGCCAAGAGAAAATATTCCTCACCAGCAAAATGTTCTGCTCCATGAAATCTTTCTCTTTCTCTCTCAGAAATGCTATCAAAGCAATGATAATTATTTAACAAGACTCTGGAAGCTTGTAGCATAGTTTTATTCTGCATCTGTTCCATTGCTTACGAATTGCAGCTGCATTTTTTCTAGTTGTGCTGCAGCAGGCATATTGATTAGTCTCTAAATAGTCACCATTTAACAAATGGATCAGTGAGAAACATAGGCAATGGTTTGACATTTCAATAGTAGAACTGATCTCATGAATGTGTCCTGGAGCTCTGTTTTGTGAGAATCACTGCAGTTTTCTCAAAAGCTGTTTTCCTGCTGACCTTGGTTCGCTCTCTCCCTCTCCCTCTCTCTCTCTGTGAGAGAGAGAGGGAGAGTGCACATATGCCTTTTCTCTGCATATCCCATGCACACTTCAAATTCAGCTGCAATAAATCTGAAATATTTTGTTTCACTATAAGTTTTGAGTTATCTGCTTACTTATTTATATTTGATATTTCTTTACTGCTTAAACATACTAAAATCTCTATGCACTTCACATACAATTGTTAAAGTCAGATCTAGAATACAGTTAAGAAACAATGTTAAAATGAAGTCCATTGCAAAGGCACCGAGCAATACATGAGCCAGAGTTGACGCATTATGCCTCCTTTCACACTGGCCTTTCCAGGACAGAGCAATTTCTCTGGTGTGACTAAGAAATTCAGTTCAGGGAAGGTTACAGAATCTGAACTTCGGGAAGGTTGCAGAATTTGAACTTCGGTGATTTTTATGACCTAATCTGCTCTTCCCAGAATAATGTTTAGATCAAAATATAGTTACTCCTTGAATTCCATGCTTCCCTGAGGTTTGTAATACATCACTTGGCTCAAAGATATAACATATGCTTTTAAATGTAAATTAAAGCCCTCTATAAAGGTAGCATTTAGATAAAATACCTCAAATTTTTTTTTTTGAGAAAATGCATTCCAAAGTACATATATAAATAAATATAAATGAACCTTCATGTACAGTCTTATATACCAATGTTTAACTTATCTCTGCTTTCAGGTTTATGGCAGTCTCCTTGCATAGTGCTTTACCTGAAACAAAATACATGATTAGCTCTTTGTATGTGTATCCCAACTAGGCAGAACCTTAATGTGAGTAAACGTTATTGCACACAGCAAAGGCCTTTACAAAATCTCTCACATTTTGTCCATGTATGATTTTATCCATTGACAAAATACCATGTACACTGTGGTATCCATAACATATATCACAATCAAAATTCACACAAGCAGAATATCAGTGGAATATCAGTGCACCTATACAACAATTCACTAAAATCAAATGTTTTCCTTTCCTAGCAAATAGACTCTATAAGTAAATAATTACCTCAAAATCTTAGGCTGTTTCACCTAACTACTTTTAATTTTTTCTTTGGTTCTGCATATAAATGGATAGTATACAATATGTTCAGCCAGTTTACATCCAAACTGTAGTATATGTATAGCATCCTTCAATAAATGTGGAAGGCATTACTTGGAACCTGAGTTCTGGGGGAAAAAAAACCTTCTTAAAAGGAGAGAAAGTAAGGCAATGAAGTTACGGTGTCCTTTTATCCCATTCCATGATCTTAAGATACTATTTAGAGTGAGGAACCCATATATGTTTAAGTACCCCATGCTTCTGGACATCATGACCACAAACCCCGTCCCTCTGGATACGGTCATGGTGTATTACCCTTAATAATCCTTAGACAGCTAAGTTAGTTCCAGTTGCTCTAGCCAGCTACCCTTAGGGCACAACACTGCATGTTTAGGCAGAAAACAGTTCTGCAGCAGTCCTAGCCTGTATGGTTGGTTGAGAATGCTGGGAATGCCAGAACTTTTTTCAGTGTAAGCAAGCATAAGATTGTACCCTTAGAAATTAGTTTTCTTCATTCCATGTATTCTCTACAGGTCTCTTATCTTAGGTAAGCAGACTCCACCCCCTCACAGATATCAGGAAGCATCTGTGGAGGAAACCCAAGGAGCGTCCTTAAAAATATATCCTAACTGGACATGTCCCCATATCTGACTTCCAAGACTTTCCCTCACTATTTTGCTTTTATCATGCTTGTATCAAGACTTCTCTCGAGCGGTAGTAATAAATTTTAACAGCCATGAAAGAGAAGAAAAATAGTTACTTTTTAATTCTAATGTTCAGATTTTAATAACACAGATACAGTAACCCATTGGGTGATACGAGACTTTCAGAAAGAGAAGAGGTTCCAAAAATAATGAAATAATATCTTTGTGCCCCTGAAGAATTGTTGAAATGCCAGTTTTCTCTCTTTAGTCAAATAAGTGTAAAGAACAAGATAGGAAAGCAAGTGTGGGTAAGGAGATGATGGGAATAAGTTTTTGTGTGTCAACCAAAGAAGGAGTCAAAGTGTCAAATGCTGCAGTTTGGAAGCTATTGTTATGACCAAAGTTCACCTGAAAACCATCCCATATACAAGGCACAGGCAAACATTTTGGGTCTGAAGGCACATTCATGGTTTTTGTCCAGACTGGAATCATATAATTTGAAATACTGTCCATTTTCTTCAGGAGTGCCTCACCCCGTCCCCAATTCTCTGTTTCCCCATTTATCCTTCTCCATCATCTTCCTTCTTGACACTCACCCCTAATGAGTGAGTTGTTGACTCAAGCCAAAGCCACTTCTGCCAGCAACAAAAACAGACCAAGTTTTGTTCACACTGTAGAAAAGAATTGTAAGTAATGCTTAAGGTTACAAAGCGATTGGTGAACACTAAATGGAAATTGTGAAAGGCCTTATTGTGCCCTGCAGGACTGTCATGAATTCATTACATGAAATAAACAAGGGATGAATAGAGAGCAATAGAGAAACAATAAAATAAAAAATGGGGGGTAATAAAGAAGAGCTCCCAGGGGTCAGTGCTTTGAGAAGCAAAAAATAAAAATATGGTTGATGGGAATCTTGAACAGCTGAACAGTATCCTCCATTATTCTGATGTTTCTCTCAATAAAAGTGTGATTATCATTGTTGAGTGTGTTTTAATTATAATAGCAGTAACGTTTTTCCTGAGTGCTTGAAGCACTTGACATTCATTATCTGAGTAATTCTCTCAACAGAACTATATTCATATGCCCATGTCTGGAGAGCTAACATGCATGCATTTATTTACTCTGGTAAGATGACTCCACACAGACATGCCTGTAACATACAGAGATACGTATGAATATATGCAAGGCAGAATGACAGCCATGATTCCCCAGCAGTTCTACCAGCTGTTTATATAAACAGGTGTTCTTTTCAAATGTTTCATTAGTTCCCTGGGAGACAAGTGGGGATTTTGGCAGTGAGCAAAAACAGGCTGAGGCAAACCGGGTTAGCTGATTTTTCCTAATGATTGACTGTGCATTGGCTGCAGCGAGCTAAATGTTGCCTTTGTGGAGACATAATCTTTTTTAAAAAAAAAATCTATCTTTTTGCCTAGATGATTGAGTAATCATGTTTCTAATTCAGAGAGATAAAGCAAGCTGATCACCTGCAGGCCTCCCTATCTGACCTGCCAAGACTTTGGCTGAGACTGTGTTCCTCTTCAAAGCCCTTACCCCATCAGACCCTAAGAGAATGAAAAATATACACTAGAGACTGGGAACACATGGCCATATATGGCCAGCAGAGGTTTCCTGTCTGGTTTACAGAGTTCTCCTCTCCCTCCATAGGGCCCGCTCCAGAGATTGCAAATGGCAGAGAGCAAAAATAAAGTTTAAACTGTTCACTGTTATAATGCAGCTCCATCTCTCTTTCCACCAGAGGTCAAAACTGAGGCTCTTTAAACGGCTTTTGGTGCTTTAAAGACAATCAAATATACCAGTATTAAAATTCTAAGCCACTTAGAGTACTAAGTTGTTACAATTGGTGCTAAGGGAACCACAGCTCTGCCAAGATGAAAGCCTGAAACTGACTGTATTGCATTTCCATCTTGCTAAACAAATAACTACTTGCCAGTCTCCTGATTGACACCTTGTTAAGAAAGTAACAATTTTATCAGTTTGATTTCCCTGTTTTAGCTACATTTTCATATGCAGATATTTGTCTACTCTGAATGTTTCTTTTCTTTTCTTTGTTCTTTCTACTTAATAAGAGTTTCAAGTCTTCGGTGACTCCCGCAACCGTCTATATGACTGAAATCCATCTTGTATAGTTACATTCTTTTTTTTTTCTTGCAGACGATCTGCATGCATGTATCCTATATGTCTGAATAAACTGTATATAGTCTTTAATTCTACCACTCCAATGTGCCTTCTTTTTCTGAGTCCTGATAATACAAAGGTTTGTATTTACTCATTTGGCAAGCAATACCTTTTTTCAAAACTAAAAAAAGCTTCATCTGCTATGAATAGCTCAGGGACACGCTCTTCCCTTCTGCATTCCTGCAATCTACACATTCCCAGAGTGTGTGCAGCCATTACCATGACACTGAGTTCCAAGAGACTGCAAAGCCATTGTCACAGTGGAAATGTTGACTTTATTGTGGCTCAGTATTTTTTCTTCTGGTGTGGCCTGTGAGGCAGATTCCCTTGACAGGTTTAATTTTCTGGCAGCCTGCAGCAATGTGTATACAAAGTTAAACTTGCTTTTGCCATATGCTGAAAAATGCATCACAGAAGGCTCATTTGCTCTTTTGAAAATAAGGGAGACTTACCCATGAGTTCAATTTTTTTTAATTTATTTATCACAATCTTCTCCTCCTCCAGACTGCTCAGTGGAACTTGATAATGCTTAATATCACAGTAATCAGCAGCAGCTGTATTTGACGAATGAGGTTCAAATGGTCGCTGCAGGGCTATTTCACCAACCCGACTGACAGGCCTCCCTGTCATGAAGGACCCTCCTCCCTCAGATGTTACCACAAGCAGGTATTCCAGCAGGTTGCAGCAGCAGGAAGATGAGAGCAGCAGCAGGAGCCAGTTCATCAGCGCTG